TAATTAACTCCTATTAATGCATATTATTATCTTATCTTATAACCATGTATATTCACATGGATATGTTTTTGGGCTGGGGGTCATTCTGAAATACGTATGTTACGATTTGTGTATAGGACGTAAGGGAGTGGTAATGGGAATGGGATGGGGTTGGGGTGGAAATGGGGATTGGGGTGGGAATGGTGATGGGGTTGGAGTTGGGGGAGGGAATTGGGATGGGGCACATATGTTGTATTCACAATGTGCAAACTGAACTAAAATGAATTCAATAATTTAAGAGGTTTTATTTTTATGAATTGTTTTAACCCAGTTATTAAAGACTAGCATATTAGCCAGAAAATTAATATGTTTACTAGCCACCTTAGATACTAAAAATCGTTATGGTTATACGGACCCGTAATGCTAAAACATATCCATGATTCAATGTTTTTCCGTAGTGCGGGGAAAATAACTAGGTTCTTATTGAAAACATAAGTGGTTTACTATTTTATACCACTGCAATGAATCAAATTATAAATATTGATGACCTAATTCACATTTTTTTTAAATTTTATGGACTAGACTATAGTACCTACTAGAATGACTAATGTGTCAATCACATCCAACATAAGTTTTAAATAAATAATGTATTTTCACACAAAGTGGTAAACAGATAATAAAAACAGTATAGACCTTCAAACGGTAACATGTGTTTTAAATTCCCTAAATATGTGGATACATTTGTTTAAAAAAAATATATTTGAAAAACATGTTCCCATTTGAAAAAAACAAGTCTATACCTATTTGACCTATATAGCACGAAGATAAAAATGTTCAAAGAATAGAAAAATATAGGTAAACCTACCTACAAGTATAGAAAAACAATAATTTTTAAAATTCATATTTTCCGAGAAAACTAATGTCTTACGTCAAATGGACCACTCTGTATTAGGTCTTAAAAATGGCCACTTGCGTAACGTAAATATTAAAAATTCGAAATTGTATTATAAAACACAACACTTAAATCCTAGATTAAAAACTAAAGTTATTCCAACGGTTAAACGCTAAGTAATGTACGTTTATTTATTTTACTAACTACCTATTCTAAATCAATATTTTTTTAATATTTGTTAATATTGTAAAGCTCGCATAAAAGTAATTTGAATGAATATACTGTCCTATATAACAAATATAGGAAAATATAGGTATGGTAAAGGTTAAAGAAAAATGTATTATTAACACTCACCGCGGTATCCGCTTATGGCTAAAATGCAAAAAAAAACATTAACGTAACTTAATAGACATTAAACTAAACAATATAAATATTATTATTTTGATACATTGTTTACAATAATATAACTGCAATAAAAGAAAGATTACCTGTAATTGTTGCCAAAAAAAAAATTGAGAATACTGTAATTTTAATAACTGTATTTATAGACATTTTTAAACCGCTGTAATCAATTGAAAATTAAATCAAATACAATAATGTAAATTATTACTGAAATGTTACGACAAACTCTATTACAAACCAAGTACAAATTGCGAATTGTGAAAAATTAAATAACATAAAATTCATGATCAAAGCAAACAACAACGTTCAATTATTTGTTTTAAACCTCGCCTTTAGTCAAAAACAACACATGTTGTTTTTTTACTTACAATTGTAAGATAGGTGCATTCGATTTACACTAAATGTATGTATAAGATTTACATACAAATCTGCGACTAGTAGTTTGGTTAACCTACTATTGAAAAATACTAAGTAAACGAATATAAATTATACACAAGAACAACAACTTGAAATAAGAAAAAAAATAACATGTATGTTACTTTGAAGGGACTGCTATTAAATTATTTTTTTAACCGAGGAACAAATCATAGGTATAGTTTTTATTCCATTTTAAAAATACTGTAATAATAAAAATAAGGAAGAATAAAAAGGGGGGAATGGATGGAAGTATAAAATTCGTTATGTGAGATATATGTGTATGTTATTAATTCATCCTAATTTCTCCTGATTCTAGTATTACTCTAAAGTTATTATTATATAACATTTCCACGTACCTTATTTTGGCCCAGCAATGATGTTGATTTAATTTAAAACTTTTTACTGTAAGAATGATATGTTGTTTCATACACTCTACACCTATTGTCTTTTAAAAGTAACGATATTTTTTACCAATATGATTTTTTTTTTTTTTATTAGCCTTTATTAAAAAATATGATGCTCAGACTAATATGATTGATCCGTACTTATGCAAATTGACCTAACTTAACCGTGATTATATCGATCAGTTTGTTAGATTAACAATTTTTATTTGCTGTATTTTCAAGTATTTAATGGCCTTCGAAGTCCATAGAGGTCAAGACTATACAGCCGTCTTAGGTCCCTTAAATCTAGTGGCTGTATCGATTCGCCCAGCTACGACCGAAGTCGCAATCACCACGTTCAACCGCACTGCACACTAGATCGTTGACCCTGGGACACTTTAATAGATTAAGCTAACCCACTTTCCGATTAATCGGCAAACAACAATCAGTCGAGGTACAAGGTTGTGATCAACTTCCAAATGGTAATTGGTGTAAGGCTGCAAAAAGCTTCCAAACAACACCACAAGGCTGTCAATACTGCCAAACATGACCTTTCTGAATGAGGCATAAAACAGACTTAGCCATAATGTAGATACCACTACTTTGATTGGCTGAACATTTTTTGGGAGGGGAACTGAACCTTTTTTTCTTTTCTTCTGAGTTATCACCCAAGTAACTCCTAAGTGAGTAAATTTGATAATGATGTTTTATGCTTCGTTCAGAAACTGGCCAAGTGCAAGGCAATGCAAATAAAAGAGCAGAGTGGCTCATGAAAGTGAAGTAAGGTTATGAACTAAAGAAATAGCAGACTTGGCCACAATGTAGATATCACTACTTTGATAGGCTGACTTTTTTGAGTGGGGGTCTAGAACTTGTCCCTTTTTCACTGTTAGGTTTTTGTTGGAAGTATCATTAATTTTTGCTGGCTTCAGCGTCGTGTTAATTTTTACTAGACATTGGTGAGAGAGTTTTAAAAATTCGGAACAAAGAACCGCGCGTTTGATTCACGCGGCCGCCCCGAAGATTTTGCTTAATACAGTTTTTCTTAGAAAAGCGGCACTTACTATTTTTTTTTTATACTTACAACGAACGAACGAATTCTCCGACAATGAATAACACGGATATAGTCGTATAGAGTATATAGACTTAATTAAATAATGATATTATTACGATTAATAAAATATTCTCTATTTGATGACCGAAAATGAAATAATGTTTGATAAGAATTCACTGTCAATTATAAACAATTGCTTATTGCCATATTGTAACACTAAATGAAAACGTGTGTTTCTACGACGCTGGAATAATATAATCAAATAATATTTATGCGCATCACATCATGCATTTAGTACTACACTCCCTAAAACGGCATTAATTTTGAAAAAACTACAACCTTCAGATTTTTTCCTTTAGTTACACCATAAGACCTGCCTTTGTGCCAAATTTCACGTTCCTACCTACACGGGAAGTGTTTTATAATTTTGATGATGCGTGAGTGAGTCAGTAACAAAAATGTAGAAAAACTGGTTCGAAAAACTGGATGAATTGGTTCGTGTAAAGATACACTGACATTGCTGGAACTTGGCCTGACCACTGCCGTGCGCTCAGATTAGAATTATAGTTTTATCTTCACTTATCAAACAAATTTTTTTTAAATAGTGTTATCGTAAATGTTAATTATTAGGAAGTAATGCTGGAATCAGGAAAACCCCGACTTATCTAAAAAAACAGTTTATTATACTTATATAAATACAATAACACTTCCAAACGTGTTTCATTGATAATAAGGTTAGGTTAATGATATACAGAAGAAAACAGTATTTAGAAAAGGTTTTATTGCAAAAAAATATCTATTCTACTGTATATATTACATGACCAATTTCATTAATTAATAGGTGTAACCTTCATTTTTTTAAATTATATATTATCCATTAGTATGGTATAGTTAACATAGTTAAGCACTTATACCCATGAATATACTAGGTAATTCATTAAGGATATGATATTCATCTTCTCAAAATATTGGAGTTTAAAATGTATAAAATTAGGTAAATAACAGTGTCATTATCTTAATGAATCACCTTGCTTATATAATTATTGGACGCTTTATTTAAAGTACCAAGAAACCCAGCGGTGCTCGGTAAAAAAAATACAACATTTTGCAACCAATATTTATAGAACATTACATTTCTGGTTAAAATAAGATTTTAAATAATTTATTTTTCCATCCCAAATGAAATAATACATTTCAAAGATTTAATAAAATAATAACTAGAACAAAATTTTGCTTGAATTATTGTTTTATTGTATTCTTTCAATTTTCTTTTTAAAGTGTTGATTTGCCAGGTTTTTTACCATTTGGTCTTTTGTTAGTAGATTTATTAATTATCTATGATGGGAAGTTTGTAATTTAGTATTGCAATTTACTACTTTATTATTTAAAGCAGATTTTTTTTTATGATATTTTGACGCAAGAACGTGTTTTGATAATTTTGGTCATAAACATAGTACACTCTTAATAATAATTATTAAAAATGAATCATTGAAGTGCTTATGAATCATAAACATCATACAATTAAATGTTATTTTTAAATAGTTTTACTTAACAATATAAATGATAATTAAATAATTCAATTTTATTGATTTTATAGTTTTGGCGTATTGACACAGATTGGCACTATCTAAAATTATATAGATTAATTACAGCAAAAACTACACAACAGATAATCATAATTAGAAATTAATGACCGATTCTTACTATATTATGCATTAATATCGTACAATGAAACGTGACATTGTAATAGTTTTAATAAACACACTATAATATATTAAAACAATCAATATTTAACGATTATAATAGGTATATTATTCGATAAAGTATTAAGCAGAAACCGATATAATATCTTTACCGTGGTATTTGATGTATTAATGTCGTGGCAGCGTTGTTACGGTCATCACGTCTAATATCCTGAACAAAAATAAATCATAAAAGATTTATTTTCGAACAGAGTCATAATGAATTTCGCTCATTTAATTGTATTTGTAGTGGTACATTTTACGTGTACAAAATTTATTAACGCATATACAACAGAGTTAAAAGAGCCATATTTAAGTAAGTTTTAGTTATTAAAAACAACTGTACTAATATACTGTGATCGTGTTTTTGTATTTTGCATTTTAATTACAAAAACAACAATATATCAATAAACTATTGCAATATTATACATATTTTTCACCATTTTCAGAAAATTATGATATATCTATGTCAAGAATTTACAATTTACAAAAAAACAACAATGATTCCAATAGCTGTGAGTATTTAAGACATAAACAAACGATAAAGCCATTTCAAGTTGCAATAACTTGTTTTTATTTATATCACACCACATTACCATTCCATGATGTTATAAAACTAAATAATTGTAAAAACAATTCACTTTAGTTGTGTTCAAAAACATAGGTACACACCATTTTTAGATTCATTTCCCAGTTGTAGAATTGCTTGCAATAGGGGCATTTGTAATCATTCAAAGTGAGATAATATGGAATGCCTGTATTGGTCTTATTATTGAAGGTTTAGCTGGTCCCCATATTTGGATTCCTTAAGCCCATATTGGTCGAATTATTGACTTATATATAAGTAATTTAGTCTTAAGTGGCAGGTTGTATTTAAGTAGCGGGCGGAAGAGATACACCCTGATCCCCTAATTAAAATAAAGTTTGAGTACAGATTTTTAGGAGAGGAAATGTTATATTTTATAGCCCCCTTCTATGTCCTATACCTAACCCACAATGTCCCGACCCAAATGAACTGGCTTTTTTTATTATTAACTCCTACACCAAGATTATTATTTAATTTTTTCCTTGTTAAATTTATTTATTAACAAACAGGTTCTAGACCAGATTATGATAATAGTACTTCAAATGTTTGCGGTCGTTTTAAAATTAAAATTTATTCAAAAACAAATGGTATCGGCATGCCGATACAATTTAACGGAAGAGCATTGAAGTCTCAAAAAAATGACTTTGAATTTATCGCAGACACATTTTATTCCGGCAACATTTCTACAACCAAAAACGTAAGGTATGATTCATCTGCATGGTTCATCGACAAATATTTCATAGATTTTGAGTCAGGTATGTAATATTTTTTTTTAGAATATATACAAATTTTGTTTATAAAATTCTTAAAAAAAAAAAATAGTAATTAAATTGCAATAATGAGTAAGATTTTTTATAAATACTAAAATACATTAATCTTACCATAAAGTAACTAATCGCCCTACTATTTGGTTTTTACATATTTTTAGTATTCATGTTTGAGTATATTTGCTTTTTTGCATTTTAAAAACGCCAGAGGTTACATATTATAAGGCCATCTTTAAATAGTTTTCTTAAAATTAAAAAAAAAAAAATTACGAAATGAACAACTAAAATTTTTTATTTTATGGAAAATTTTAAGTTTATATTGTATGGTAAAATAATTGACTCTAATATGTATAGTTTAATATATAATTAACCGTTAGAACTGTAAAAATATAAATATAAAGTCTCATTATACTTTAAAAACTAATTCACTAGAAATATTCTTAGAAGAACTGAACAACAATCTTCTGTCCAGTGATTATAGCATCAGCGTATGTTAATAAAAAAAACCTATATTTAAGAGTTAATTTTTTAAATGTCGTCATCTGAGAACCGATTTTTAAATTAATACTTAAAAGTCACTGACCTGAATATCAAGTTGTATTATTATTTATACTCCAATTAGTAATTAATACTACTACTTAATTTATAAAATACCATACAAATTTTTAATAGAATTAACCCTATTTATTACTTGGATTTTTTACTTCTATGGTATAGAATATTTTTTATAAAATAAAAAAATCTCTAACATACAGTTGTTTTAATTGGCCTGTATAAATGTTTACATATTATTTAGCTTATACACCTACAAATGCTCCAGGAGGTATGCTATACTACTATCCAAGTACAGATGTTAATATAAGTTGGACTCCACGCAAAACGGTTAAAGGATGTTTTTCAATAACATATAGAGATAGTTTTAATGTTGATTCAGCAGGAAATGAAGAATATAATAAATATTATAGTCCAGTATTATTTATACAAGAAAACGGCAAAAATATTCCTATTGAGAGAGTCTTATTACCAATTACGGTAAGATAACACTTTAATTTATAAATAATTTAATTTTACTTTTTTTGTAAATTCTAATAACAATTGTCTGGAATGTGCAAGAATAACAAAAGCCAATAATTGATATTCACTTGTTTTTTATTTTAGTAAAAAACTCATAAAGAGTATTTAAAATGAAACATTCCAATTGTATAACAATTGTAGTATAAATGATGATTCATTAGAGTTAAGGCAATTATTTTCTCATAAAATTATTGCATTTTTTTTTTTTGCACTTTTTTTATGTTGTTTTACAATATTACACATATTCATTTTTTTTTCTTCAGAGCTCTATTAATTTTAAATCAATTTAAATTTAAGTAGGAATGTATATAAAAACATGGACGGGAGGTGGAGTGTGGTGTGATGCGCGTAGAACTATATAATACTATACCTTATCCTTCCAACCATCACAAACTTTAATAACATTGAATGTAAGTATGCATAACTGGTTATCGACCAGTCAACATTTACAGCAAATCATTCCTTATTAAAAAACTGAATTAAATATATACATTGTCATTTAAATACCAAAAGCTGATTGCACTCTGGAAAATATTAATCAGTAATTTTGAATTATTGTGAAATGACATTAACAAAAAGGTTTTCAAAAATAAACACTAACAAATTGCAATTATTTTAAGAAATATCGAGAGTTTTATTTTAAATAAATTACCCGATAATGCTGTTTGAATTTCTTTGAAGGTTTACTATCTGAATTTGCTATAAACACGTTGTCGTTTAAATAGTGAATCATTGAAATCAATGTACATCAGATATTAGTAGTTAAACAATAAGATGAAACCAAGAAATACCATAACATAATATTTTGTTATATACGATATAAAAATATATCGCTTTTTGATACAGTTGTTTGTGTTTGTGGTTACAGGAGACAATGATGATACTGCGAACTGATTATTTTTTTTTTAAAAATAAAACGTATCATTTTATAATTAGACATTTTTATAAATACGAATGGAGAAGATTTGGTATCAAAAGAATAGCTCATTGCAATGGTAAGTAAATTACTAGAGCATAAGAATTGAAATACATATCCTCTTAAAAATCTGCTCCACTATAGGTGACTTAAGCGTCCAGATGATTCCTCTCGCTTCCTGATAGAATTTGGTTTAGTACGCTATTAATAATGTAGCCATCCTGATTCAGCGAAAATACATCTTCAATATCTATTCTATTAGCGACAGTATCAAAGATATATGGGTTTCCTACATGCAAAATATTTGAGTTACATGAGTTCTTCAGAGTAATAAAATTGTCTCAACATTGACGTTCCACAATTATACTTATTTACTTATTTTCAAATCGTAATTTCCTTTAGTTCTCCTTAACTGCATACCACACATCTTTAAAATGTCCAATTTCAGTTATTGCTGCTGTATCAGACCCCAAAGTTGTATGTCAAATTTATCAAAGAAACCCTAATTAAGAATGATCAAGCAAATTTTAAATGTAGCTATAGATGAATAATTTCTGAAATATTGCTTCTTGTGCACTTGCATCATGTGCGACAACAAATATTTGCCCAACCCGATGTAACCCGCTTTGCACCCTCGCTGTAACATTATTTAATACGAGTAGTATGTCACATTTTATTTTATAGAAAATGGTGATGTGTATGAAATATCTAGTGAAGAACTAAATAGTGAAATTCCAAATTCCGTTAAAGTTTGGACCTCAAAAAATCTTGGTAAGTATTTTTTAAAATTAGTAAATCGACAGTAAAAAAATAATACGTACTAAATTATACGCATGAATACATATTAAAGAATTATTATTATTTTAATGTTTTATTTTTAAGGTCAAGAAGTGAAACCGTTGCAATTAAACGAAGGTAATTATTTTAATATAAATTTTGCTTGTTTCTTCATTTAAGTATACAACGAGATTAGCAAATAAGTGTTGTTGAAATTATTTGTAGTCAACCGAAACTATAAAAAATGTTATTACAATATTATTGAAAACCGGACGATATAATCTTTATTTATAATTTAGTATGTGAGCTGAATAAATATGGACCCAATTGTTCGGAAACATGTTCAATATCTCCAAACTTTTGTCAAGGATTTCTATTCTGTACAGAAACTAATGAATGCTCTTGTGCTTCAGGATTTACTGGACGATTTTGTGACATAAGTATTTAACAAACAATGTCTTGTATTGTTTTTTTTAATCCTTTAAAATAATCAATAAATGTTTAGAATGCTTACAAGGAACGTATGGCCGTGATTGTAAAAAAAGTTGTTCTGAGAATTGCCTTTCGTGTGATATTCATAACGGAAATTGCGCGGGCAACTGCAAAAAAAATTTCGTTCCACCGGATTGTACCGAAAGTAAGTCTAATTCTCGTTGGCAGAGGTAGGATTCTACTAAATGTTGATCTTTTTTACAGAATATCCATGGCTAATAAAACCACCACAGATCATATCGTCTGATTACCACTCCGTAAAATTAAATACTAGTTTTGGAAGTGAAAATATAGGCGGCAGCCAAAAAAACAAAATTTCGTTATACCAAATAGTGTACAAGGTAATACAATACTTTAGATTACACCGGAGCAAATAACATAACTTAAGCAGTCAAAAATATTAAATGTAACTGTTATAAACCTTTTAATAAAATTATTTCCATTTTATTATTTGAAGCAATCATCCGCTATGTCGGGATTCCAGTATACGGTGTTTAAAGAAATTCAAGATTCCAACTATGCAGTAGATAAAATTGACAATTTATTGGTAGAAACCGAGTACACGTTTGGAGCCATTGTGGTTACGGAAGACGGTAATCTTAATGATGAGGATACAAGCATGGTGAACTACACAATAGATTGTCAAGGTATAAAATGTGTAAAAGCACGATAAACATGTAATCACTAGTAAGGACTCGTCATTAATATGTGTAAACAGTGGCGTATTTACGGGGGGATCAAGAGGATCAACCCCCCCCCATGGGCTGTATATAGTATGCAAATAATTATAGCCATCATGTTTAAAAAAAAAAAAGTCGAGTCTGTGACCACTTGATAAATTCATATCCCCCCCCCCCCAAAACAAAAACCTAAATACGCCACTGGTGTAAACATCAGTCATCATGAACAATTAAAGGACACCCAAAGGTCATGATGATGTTACACAGCCAGAAGCCTAGACTGCTTTACTGTTATAAGAATATTATAAAATTATTTTATTTTTTATAGTTCCCACTAACATTGATTATGGAATAGAGCTTTCTAAAGGTGCCGAATATATCAATGTCACTTGGATAAAAGTAATATCATTACTTAATTTTGATGTTTTATTATTTAGTATCAGTCATAATATCGTGTACCACTATTTTTGTTTTGAGTATTATGATTAATAAGTTAATTAATAAGCACAATGTCGAGAGACATAATTTAAACCCACACAAAAAATGTGTGTGTAAAACTTAATGCTAAATAAATATTCAACAGCCCAATACCAACAAAGCTTATGATTGCGAAATCAACGAATATATGTTAAAATTAATGTACAATGATGAGTACAAAGTGGTGTCTACTAAGAACTTTAACTACACGTTTGACAACTTAATACCGGGTTATACATACGCTGTTCAAGTGACCGCAAGGACAATGCAGGGACCAGCTCAGCCATCAAACATATTTTATGAAACTTTAGACGTTCAAGGTACCGTACACAAAATACGTGAAATCGAAAACATACAATATTCTTGATAATATATGTATTTTCAGGGTATATTGGTATCCAAAACATAGCTGTTAAATTACTTGATTCCGAAACAATTGGATATGTGACATGGGAATTAATCGATGCCTATAAAAACGCTTCTATAAATTACTTACTTAAATATAAAGTAGGTGTTTTGTGATATTGTTTCTTTTTAGTTCACACGCCTTCAGGTTTTTTACTCGAACAATTATTAATTTTCAGATAAATAGACATTTTAGCTGCTCTTTTCCTAATACAATAAAAAGTAATTGGTCCACAGTTGTCATATACAACAAAACGGAGTATAATATATTGGGTTTAATACCGTATACCCAGTACATTATACAAGTGCATCCGATTACTGAAGGTTACACTTACGGCGATGACGAAAATGTGATCTTCAAAAAAACCGCATCTTCGAGTAAGTACTTTTATTATTATATTCATTATTTGAACGAAATACAGCTCTAATAGTATAATTATTAATACATTTGCCTAATACTTGTCTTATCATTTTAAAAATATAGCACCAAATTTAGCACCCACTCTTGATACCAGCCAACCCATAAGTATTACTAATGAAACAACTACGATTAAATGGTTCGTGGATAATAAAAACTGTAATAAATTAAACGGGTTTCCAACAGGCTTCCATCTAATACTGAAGGTAATGTAGTTTTTTTTTAATCAAAATTCACAATTTAAAGTTATTATATTGTTTAAAGTCTAAAAATTAGAATGAGTATACAATGAGTTTATACAATAAAATGGTAAATTTTTATTCATAAGTAATTAAACCAAAAAATAAATGTGTATTGCTAAATGATAATTGGTACGACAAAAGTGTTTTTTTTTCTTTTTATACTTTTTTGTAAATTTATTTTTTTTTTATAATTATTTTTACAATTAATGGAGGTCTAGTTTCTTTTTAATTGTAGATTTCTCTTATATACATTTTTCCTTCAAGATTAAAATACATTGTGCTCATATACTCTTTAGATAATATTTTTTACCAATTATTTTTTTTAAAAACTATCTTTTAATCATATTGTGTTACAGAATTTAAAAGATTCCACTCAAACAGTTCATGAGACGGAAGATGCCTCAATCGAATTAACCAATCTTGTTCCCAATACAGAGTATGAACTTCAAGTGTTCATTAAAACAAATAAAGGGTTCAATATTAATTATATGCTTTCAGTTCCTTTTAAAACTAAAGGATAATGTATGTTGCCCACTTAATTATATGTACTAAATCTATATAAAAAAAATTATGTTGTTGTGATTTTGTAACATCTAATTTAATGTTAATAATTAACAAACAGAAGTACCTGATTTAGAGTAAACCGAAACAAACAAATCAAAAGTAAAAAGGTTTTCTTAAAATTACAATTATTAATTTATACATTTTTTGATAGTCCATCATATATGTACATTCCTATAATTATATTATTAAGTTAAATATTAAAAATATATTTCACGTGACTATTTTATTGTCAATATCAATTATATGTTTAATTAATATCTCAGGCACAATACATATCAATTTGGCATTGTTATAAAATTGTAATTGAACATAGTTATGCACTTAAACCTTTTATAGCTAAAATTATTTATTTAAGTACACCAAACACAATAATATAGGTAATATTGACATTTTATGTTCAAGGTTTGTTTATAAATCAAATTAACAAATGTAAGAACTATAGTTTTATTTTCACTTATCTAACAAAATATTTTAACTAATTATTAAATAGTTTAATCGTAAATGTTAATTAAAAGAAACTGATGCTGAAATCAGGAAAACCCCGACTCATCTAAAAAAGCCAATTAATTATATTTATATAAAAACAATAACACTTCCAATTTCAAATAAATAACAAATCCCGTTAATTGTTTTAGTTGTAATTCTGTTAAGATGGACCAAGTTCAATTAATGGTGTCCTTGAACCTAATTTAATAGGTTATCTTTTATTTACATTTATTGTTTACAAATAGACAAGCTACATAATATTACATAATAACGGAACGGGAGATTGAAATAGAATAATTAAGCAATGATCCAATTGATAGGTTTTTAAATGTTTAATGTTTTTTTTATTGCACAGATAAGATACTAAAAAATCGAACTAATCTCGAAGAAAACCGTTTCTTCATTTTGGTAATAAAATAAAAATAAAATACATGCTTAATACTAAATTAGTTTAAGAGTAGATACACAAAGCAAACGCAAAAGAAGAAAATAACAATAGTTATAAATTACATTCAAGTCTAATTAATTAAAGATTTCATACAATTTTACAATGGACACATATTATATTTAATTACATGTTAAAACTACGTTTTTCGAAAATTCAGGTTAAGTATAAGCGCTCTTAATAATTTCCGTTGCCTTCTGGAAAATTAATAAATTCTAAAACCTATTTAGTTAAAAATGGATTTTTTTTTTTGTTAACACTGAAACGTGTTTTACATATTGTTTTGTGCGGTTTAGGTTATTCGGGGGACTCTAAGACATTTATTTACATTTAAGAGACGTTTTAACTTTAATGGTGTTAAGACTAATTCGCGTATGTAATGAGCGTATCGTGCGAGCAGGCAGGCCCTTTGGACGGCCAGTTGCAAGCGCTGAGGTTTTCGTCAAAAGCCAGATGAATGGGACACTTGAATTCGCTGAGCTCATATTTCTGCGTCCATTTGTCCCAGTTACAAGAATAGAATTTGTTACACTGCTTTGGATCTCTGAACAATCCGGGGCGGGTGCACGACCTTACCTTCGTCGGTTTTCTGACTTGTTCCAAAATCACTTTGGTGTTACTTTCCACTTCTTTGACACTCACTGCTTTCAGATCGTCATCGTCGTCAGTTTCGATCACTGTCCTGGTGGTCGTGGTCACCACCGTCGGCTTGTTCTTTTTGGCGCAATCGCATTGCGCGCCCAACTTGCCGACCAGCAGAGAATTGGAATCTCCGTCGACCGACACTTTGCCGTCGTCTTCGCTCTGCAAATGCCGTCTGACGGCCGCCATGTAATAACGTTCGAATTCGGCATTCAGCTCGGCGCTGACCGGTTCCACGACGATCGGTTGCAGAGGATACAAGGGATATCCGCCGTGCGAAACATGTCCGGCATCCTTTTCGTATTGCCTGGGCAGGGAATAGTTGTACGGCGAGTTGCCCGAAGACGGTGAATAATACCTGGGGAACGGTGCGCGGTACGCCGAGTCCAACGAGTCGTGCACGTTATGATAGTAATCAATGAGGTTGGAAGCCGTGCTCGAGTAACCGACCAACGGGTCCGGTCGTTGAGTGTACGATACGGGTTTTACGCTGAACACGGATTCCAAAGACGGTACGTACTGGTATTTAGGAGCGGACACGGTCACTGCGGCTTCGGGTTTACACGTGGTCGACGAATACGTTGCTTGGCCGAACGTCTTCGGGGGTTCGGTGGACGTTGATACATACGCCGCCGTGGGCAAAGGTTGAACGTTGGCGCTGACTTGAGGCGTCGAGTATTCGGAATTTTCCACAAGTCTCGCCAGGTATTCGTCGATGTCGAAAGAATAATTCGGTTCGTAATCTCCTGCGTTGTACAGCGGCTTTTCACTGGTCGGCGAATTTGCAACCGACAATTTTCTGACGAGTTCTTCGATGTATGCGGAGTCCACGTTCGAAGGTAACGGGGACGAAGGACCGTAATCCGGCGATACAGACGCTTCTGGCACCTTGAGCTTGTAGTCGGCTATGTTGAATTTAACCGGTTTAACCGTAGTCGGGGTGTACAGTGCCGGCGACGATGGAGTATAATGGTTGGCACTACTAGGATCGAAGTATGGTTCTATTTTCCGAGACGTATCGTCGGCGTATGAATTTGGAGAAATCGCTTTGAAGATGTGCGAACTCGGAGCGGACGCCTTGTAGTATTGTATAGTCGGCTTGGACGTAGTAGAGTAGGTGGATGAAGATTCTTCGTAGCCGCGTACACCGACTGATGGCGTATAGTCGATTGCAGGAGTAGTGGGTTGGTACGATTGACTAGATAATTTCGACAGATAATCTTCGAAATTAAATCCAGACTTGAACTGATCTTGGTATAACTTGTTATCGTGTTCGGACGGTTTCGGTGAAGTAGAGGAAACGCCGTAGTCGCTATAACTAATGGTAGACGGGGTAGTCACGTATGGCGCACCGGTGGAAGAATATTGTGCGTTTGCGCCGTCATTTGAATCCTTGTACGATTCGCTCACATACGGGCGAGAAGTTGGTTTCAAGTAAACATTGGGTTGTGAGTAAATGGGCGCTTCGGGTCTTTGGGTCGTTGAATAAGATGCTGCAATGTTGTTGAATGTCTGATATTGTTCTTGGTCTTTACGAGAATCGTAATTGTTGCCGTTTGTCAGAACAGAATAGGAATCGACAAATGGCGTAGATGTTGAACTCGGGTAAGCACTCGGTTGGCTAGCGGTGTACAATCTGACGTCCGGTAATTTGAGCAACGGTTTTTCAGAGGTAGAGTATAGTTCGAAATCTTTAATTGGCGGATACTGGATATCGTTCTTGTGAGAATCATAATTGTTATTGACCGGTATGCTTCGGAAATTATTTTGTTGGTGGAGAAGTACGCCAGAACTGCCGCCAGTAGGGTATGTCGGACCCGTTTCCGTTCTAGGGGTTTGATGGTAAAGTATCCCATAAGATGCCGGCGTTCTACTATGCTCGGGGCTGTAATCGTTCAAACGGAAAGTGGCTTGATTCGGAACTACATACGTTTCCGGTTCACTATAAGATGATGGATATGGTTTGCCGGTGGAAGCATACGTGACTGGTAAAATATGTGGTAACTGAGGTTTGGCTGTACTGCTAGAATACCCTGCCGTTGAGCTATAGTAAAGCGGAAGCTCACTAGTCGTAGAATACGACCCAGTCGAGCCATATGCGAATGGAGGTTGACTTGGAGTGACGTAGGTTTGTGTAGAGCTGTAACCAGATTGTGGATAATTTGGCGTCACGTAGTTTTTGGCTGAATCATAAACAAACTGAGGTTTAATCGTGCTGCTCGGATATCTTTCGGTTGAGGTATACAAGAATGGTGGCTTATTAGGCGTAGTTCCTGTTAATGCGTATAAGAATTGATTATGACTCGGTGTCACGTATTTTTCTGTCGAGCTGTACGCAAATTGAGGTGCACTTGTTGTCGCATACTGCAATTTGGGCTGGTGTGAAGTAATGTAAGAATCAACTGATCCATATGATAATCGCGGTTGTTCAGGTGAAAATTGTCCGTGCGGAAGGAATGAACTCGTTTGTTGTAACCCGTTAAATTGATGTTGACTCGGCTGATAAGGCTGTTCTCCATAATATGATTTTCCAGAATTTCCTGAAAATGTGTTTTTTTATGATAATTATGCAAGTTTTTATTTAGATTTAGATTGTTTTAATTTATTATTGTCATTAACGATAGAAGACTTGCAATTAAAAGAGAACTTACCACATGCTTCTACTTTCCACGGCCAGTCACATTTCAACGATCGTTCGTCGAAAACTAATCCGAATGGACATCTAAACTCGTAAGGGGTAAGTGGAGTGTAGCCATCTTTAGCGTGGTCGAGACAAGCGAAAAACCATCGGCAGTTTTCAGGATCTGCATAGTACCCTTCAACTGGTGGGCAGACGAACTGGTTTCGAGGGACAGGAGCTATTTCACTGGAACCTTTAAAACACAATGCGATACAGTTTTTTCTAATCTAGGATGCTAATCATAATAATATAAACATTTTGTTGGTAATGCAAGTTTTTTAAAGATATTCAATGAGTACCTTGACACGCTCCGCCGTCAGACAGAGATCCTGGCCATACGCATACTTCGACTTTTTCGTCAAAAGCCAAGCCGTCGGGGCAATCGAACTCGTAAACTGTGAAATAATTCGATTGTTGGTCGAATTTAACGCAACGGTAAAATCTGTTACAACCACTAGGGTGCCTAAAATACCCTTGACGCGAACATTCAAATTCCGTTTTCACGTCTTTGCGAATCACGTGCACTTCTCCGTCTCTGCTAACCACTCTTTCAATGTAATAAGGTGAATAATTGATGTCGTCTAAAACAATAATAAATCGTCAAATTATGTTATAAAGAATATATTGATTGTAAGTAAGCGATAAGACCAGACGAGTTGCTAGTGGATGTGTGGCAGTGTTAGAAGGCAGCAGAATTAAGTGATTAATAATAGTTGTCAACGAAATTTTTTTTGGTGAGGAAAGCTACTTTTCATAAAAAAAATGCCCTTTGTAAAAGAAATCAACGGAAAATGGATGTTACTGAAATAACAAAATTGTATTAGACGGATGGAGTGGCTAAGTTAGAAAATAAATCAGGTAAGATAATTGGGTCAAGAGGTTTGCTTTAGAGTCGAAGGTAGACCGAATACAAATTGGATGCTAACAACATCAAACCTATAAAGAAGTATAAAGGGAATAAATTTAATAGGTGAACCCACTTGACACGTGTTAACGCGGAAAAAATGTATTTATTTTATGAATTTTGTCTTTACTGTTAAAATAGAATTCCTGGTCGACCGGTCTTTGTAATTGTTCTTGCAAACTAAGAAATTGAGCGGCTCTCGATTTCCTCGCTGTCTCTGTAAATGTTTTTGCGATTTCGTTCAAAGGTTCTGCTCGTGTCTGATTTGAGCACTCTGACTTCCAGTCTAATGCTTCGACATCGGTAACTACTATTCCTGCCAGATCGCGCAGTAGAACGTATTTGCTCTAAAACCATACATATTGTAATAATAATTTAAGTACTTTATCAGTTGTAATGTGTCATCAAAACTACTTACCTTGATTGACGCGCTAACACTGTCGTCGAATGCCATCCAGGTTGTATTCATAAAAGCATACGGAGCAGTGAAGTCTTCGTCTCTTTCGACCGTCCAGTTACCATCTCTCATCTCTTCGCACATCTAATAACACAATATGAACATAATGTTTACAAAAAATACAAATATTTAAAAACAAGGACCACCCTAATACACACGTTAATGTATTATCATTATCAACCACTTGTAAAATAACTGATATCAGTTTGAAATTACCTTTTGACGCGTTATAGTAGTCGGAAAGCCCACTGCAGGCGACCGAGGAGTGTTTTTGAGTGGGTCTTTTAATGTGAATTTACTTGCCGTAGACGGCAACGATAAAATCAACGAAGAATGATCGACTCCCAGACCGATGACAAGATCGACAAGAGCGTCCTGTAACCCAAATTTGTTTTACCAACAACAACAAAAAATGTTTTAAAAATTATTTCCTTACCGCATTTAGCAGATCGTCAGCGCCCATCAACCTGCTTGGATGGTAAGTATATGCTTGTTGGGAGACATCAATAAGGTTATGCGTGGCAATTATGAAGAAATCCACAAACCTTAGAAAACACACACAACGATGAGTTTGCTTTTTTTAAAAATCAATTGTACATATTTATTAATATTATTTTTTACTTAGACAATTTTTTCAGGTCGTATTGTTTGGACAAGAGAGCCGCATTAGGGGGAAGCACTAATTGAACTTCTTTTGATTTTTGAACGGTTTCCGTATAGTTATTAGTTATTACTATCCGGAAATGATTGTCTATTTCTGAGGATAATTCCTAAATATACACAAAATGTAATAATTATTGAACGTTTTTGTGGATGACAGTATTCAGTATAGTTGATTACAGTAAACGGGAAGGTATATAATACAAGTAAATTTTTATAATTTATAAGCTTTCGATGATAAACAATTTTTTTTTTTTAATTTAGAAACATTTCAAATCAGTTGTGATCAATAATTGTTTTAAAATAAAATTGACATGGGAAATGATGGTCTAGTTTGAGCCACTATAACAGTTAGATACTCTCAAAACAATTTTTCTTTCTTCTGATTTTTGCCTATGCCATTTGGCTCTATTCATTTCCTTACATGCGCTTTAGAAAACATAAATTTAATTAAATTTTTCATGATGTACACGTTTAATATTGTATTCTTTAGTTTTGTAACTAAACGTTTTAACTCGTAGGTAATTCGACAGACTAAAACTCTTGGAAACATGTAAAAACACTGCCAAAGACAGTGAACAATCAAACTTATCGTGCTCGAATACTTCAAGTTTGTTCAGGGTCAATAGGAATTGTTTACGATCTAAAAACAGCTAATTGAGGCTTAAGTGTATACAATGTAATCATACGAGCACTCGATTAATACAAGAAAAACAAAACGATTGTAAAAGGTAAAACAAACTGAAACGGCAAGTCGATACAAAAGAAATAACGAACCTGACAGCTTGTTTTGCATAATAAAATATTTTATTATTATTTACACGACATGGCGATAGGTTCTAATGAAATGGAAATGACCGTTTTCTACCTAAACCGTACGTTTCCCTTTTCTGGCTGTTTGATGCATTTTTAGAATTTCATTAGTCGTTAATAATTTAATAAACAAAATTTATGATCTAGCTAATTTATCTATTTTTTTGTTTAGTATTAGTTAGCAAAACACATTGTCGGTTTAAGTCCATCTATTAGGTTCAAACCTCTCCTTGCATGATTTTGCAAATTTTATCTATCGTTTAAACTTTTATGTTTGTTATGAAGTAAAGATTATATTTTATTTCCAACACGAATATATATTTTTATGACTACATCGTTTTTTTTTTTAGTAAGATCAAAATATGTTCTATTAAAACATTGTTTTATGCTTTAATAATTTTTTTGTTTATGCTTTTATTCGATTTATTTACTAGATTTGATTACTCGTTTGCTAAATGTATTAATTCGTTTACTCAGTTTATATACCAATATTGGATTTTTCCTCGTTTACTAGGTTTATTTACTTGAAGTTTTATTCGTTCACTTGATTTGTATGCTCGTTTACTCAATTTTATAATTGTTTATTTGCCGTTTATTCAATTGATTTACTCGTCCACCAAATTTGTTTATTCGATTTTTTTATTAATTTACTCGGCTGGTTTACTGGATTCGTATAGTTGTTTAATCAATTTTTTAGTTGCTTACTTAGTTAATTTACCGTTTATAAGATTTGTTTACTCGTTTACTTAGTATTATTTACCATGTACACTGTATTATGGAAAACGTACGGTCTGGCTTAACCGACTCTTTTCTCGTCTGGTGGAAATATGAATGGCGAAAAGAGAAAGGTAAGATTTTTAGCGGAAAAGGGTCTCACCCCATCAGACATAAACTGTACAAGGGTGATTCGTTAAACATTAATGACTTTGAAAGTAATTATTTAAAACTGGTTATCGACCAATCAACGTTTTTAGTAAATTATTCTTAATTTAAAAAGTTGATATAGCGCTCAGGAAAATACTGAAAAAGTAAATATTTATTAATTTTATAATGTTGTAAAATGATTTTTCTCAAAATTAATTACTACAACACGGCAATTATTTTAAGATATTATATTACGGGCCTTACGTTACCTTGTACGATGGACGCACATAATGAACTAATTATCGAGAGTACTTTTTACTCGCATCTATCAAAAAAAAAAATGTCTACCTTTCCAAATCGCTTTCATATTACCAACGACCGGTTCCCGTTGCGGCCTTAAACTGATCGACCATTCGTTGCGTACATAGCCACGGTTGTAGTAACCGAGTTCTACATCATAATGGCCCTAGGACCACCGTTCGTACAATAATAATTATCACTGATACAGCATATTATACTGGTAATAATTTCGGGTCGGACACATTCGGGTACTTTCAAGTTTACGGTCCTTCGACGATTTACCTTGAAGTCGACCGCTATGTGTTTGTTTTAAAACAACATACTACACCTGCGACGATTATTATCATATGGTTTTTTTTCTGTCATCATATTTTGTTCTGTAGTGTGGTCCAAACACAGTCGAGTCTGCAAATCCACAAAACTCAATATATTATGGAACGCGTATTCAGATTGAAAAACGACCCCGACCTGGGAGGCAGCCATTCTGTGTACCAATTCGATGGAAAGTAAAAATGCTACGTCATTATTCCACGATACATATTAAAATGTTAGGTTAGGCAATGATAACACCGTCGTATATTTGATATATCATAGAAAAAACGATAAATATCATGGACAAAACAATAACTGTTCACAAAATGGCAGCCTCATCCTACTGGTGGACATTTTCATAAGGAACCTACTACAGGAAAAACGCGTTCCATTGAGTTCAGTGGTCAAATCGCCCCCATGTTGAGTAACCCTATCTGTTTTAGGCGACCAGTCGAGTCTGTAATTTCGTGAGACGACACTACACGTGAGAGAACAATGGCGACCGCGCGGCTAATCGGGTGTGGTGCTAGAATAATATTATTTGTAATATAGTATGCAGCGACTCGCCTTGAAAAAGTGCACGACCAGTGATTTATCAACGGACACGTCGGATTGTCTTAGATCCAATTGCACGCCGTCGTAGCCGGCCAGCACGTCGACGATCTCCTTGCAAATCTGGTTTGACTTCTTTGCCACGTCTTCCGCGTACAATGGAACCGCGGCCAGCGACTTGAGCCCGGCGTTGCTCCGTTTGTACGACTTGATGGCGGTCGTCAAGTCTGTTTTGGAATTATGTTGTGCGTCACAAACACGGTTACGTTAAAAAAAAACCCACAACGATAATTATTATTATTATTATACTATTCATGTACAGCGCAAAGCATACCCAAGGTTTCGTCGTCTTTTTCCGACTCCAAACTCACGGGAACCGCCACGTGAGTGCACAGGCACGTGTTCAGGTCGGCTATTTCTTTGGCGGTGCCGAACTGGCAAATTACACGTTTCATCGGCGTGTTCTCGCATCGTGTTATGTTTTCTACGCCGGCAAAAAACAAAATACAAATAATAGCCATGTCAATATAAAATAATAGGTATGATAACAATAAACATGTGTTATCGATAAAACGAATAAATGCCGTTTTCTTCACTTAACCGGAAAAGAACAAGGGACCATGGATATCAATATAAGACCAATATGTCTTTGGACCGTCCCCGCCACTGGCTGTATTTCATGTGCATTTTCTTTCCCTACCAGCCTCTATCTCTATCTGCAATGTCCTTCCCTTCCTTTTTGTCTACATTATCATAATTCTCTATCTCATTCTATCAACAACCCCTCCCCATCCCTTCATTCTATCTACAATATCCTACCCTACCCTTCATTAGTCACTGACCTCTTATCATCCGTATCTCATTATCGCCATCTTATAACTAGGTCTGGCAACTCCCTACACGAAAACACGTAACCGTTTTTCCAATATTTGTTTTTTTTTTTTTAATACAAAATATTATATTGTATTCTCGGTAATCGGTTTTCTCAAATTTTTAAGCATATATTTAGGTACGTTGGAGAAAGTTATCAAGTTAGACATTTGTGTTACACGCCCTACTAATATAAATCTAAATTGAATAAATTTAAAAACAAATTGGTTGATAGTTAAGTAGTGCATGGTCAACGGGCGACTCGGGTGTCAATAATTGTTTTAATGATTTTAACTTGTCAAACTTTACTAAAGTGAAATATAAATTATAACATAAAATTATAATTAAAAAAAAAGTTTATTAAAAAATAATTGATTTGAAACTGTTTTCCAAACAGTCTGTGATTTATACCAAATCGTTCATGTTTTTATAAATTAAATACAAGCGCATTTTTAAAAAAATAAAAAGCTTTATCGTTTTTGTATTTGTGTCGACAACGTCGGCCATTCATATTCTACCTGATAATAAATTAGGAAATGGAACGTCTGCTCAAACGTTCAATTCATATAATATATTCATTTGAGGATACAAGCGGCTATTTATAGATGAGGAAATCAGAATTACGTGATAAATAGTTAGGTAGGTACCTACTTACCGGAATTTGCCCAGTTGAGAACAAACAACACCAGTAGAACGGACAGTCTAGGGCCTTCAGCCATCTGAAATCAAAATAATATTCCAATCACGTAAATGATATATGACGTCTTGATGGGTTCGAGATGTATCCACATATGTACCCACTATAAGAGAGCACACCGGTTGAATCTGACCTTCCAAACCGAATTCAATTCAATGGTATATTTATATACTTAAATACATACATAGAGTATAAATTGACCTTATACTATTCGAGTGGTACTGAGCGGATACTATTAATTATGACCAGATCATTTGTTTTGTAGTATACATTACTAAAATATATGCACACGAAGGGTGATGCATTCAATGCAAGACACTGAATGTCTTTGAATTAGGAGGAGGTTGTTCTTTTTGAAAACGTTTGCATTTATGTTGTTTTTGCAATATTAAAAAATATTTACCTTTTTTAAAGTATTTTCCAGCTTTTAACTTTTGAAACTTAAACGGAAACGTAATAACTTGCCGACAGTTTTGAGTGGTCGATAACCAGTTTTCAATAATATTAATTTAAATGTTCTTATAAAATTTAGGACGGTAAGAATTTTATTTCTAAATTTCGAACTTAAATAACTTTATAATAAATTATTATCCAAAACCGGTTATCGGCCAGTCAATATTTTTAGTAAATTATTGTTAACTTAAAAAGTTAATAAAACTGAGACGTTAAAATTTTAATTTCAAAAAATTATAGAACTCTATAATTATACACCGAAAAAGATAAAAATTTGAATACTGTGAAATCACATAAGCTTGCAAAAGGAAAAACTACAAAATTGTAATTATTTTTCCGTAGGAAATGAGTGTCTCGCTTTAAATGGATCACATTCACACTTCCCACTGATCGTAAGCTGACCTTACGCTATCCGGGTGGTATTAATTATGATCCGGTTATTTTTTTGTTTACGTTATACATTAGACAAATATAATATGGATATGTAAATGTATATTATTATTATTATTATGTAATATAAAATATAAATACCGACCTTTTTATTTTTTGCTATTTCTTTCACTTTTTGTCCACGACGGTTTTGTTTGTTATGTTGGACGCTGCAGGTACATTTTGCGTTGGCGCCCTTGGGAAAAAATAAAAAATGAAAAGTTGTCATTACCGTTGTATACGTGGGTAGGCTTATGTGTATGTATGGATGTGGAGCGGTTTGTGAAACGCCCGGGGCGGTGTTCTGGATAATTTTATTTTTTAAGAGAGGTTAAAAAACCTTCGTGCGCTGTTTATTACATAAGAACGGACATCTCACAGCGTATGGTAAAAAAATGAAAAAAACAATAATCTAGTTGGACGAGTCTCGTTACACGGAGACGTACTGCCCTACAAAAATAAAAAATGATAAGTACACTGAACATATTAAATTATCATGCCGCGTGACATCGCAAGTATGCTTACAACAAATATGTGTTACTATGTGTGTTTTTGAAAAAATACAAAATTATCGTTTATCCGCAAAAAATTGTCGTGCTCGACTTGCGGCCTATACTTACTAAACGTTAAGCGTTACCTCCCGGAAAAACTCAAACGACTTAACTAAATGGACACGGTCCACCGACAGCTGTATTTGAAAAAAAATTGACTATAACAATTGGTAACATTTTAGCATTGAGTTGGATCACTTGACGTGTTAATTTTAACACCATTTTTAAAAAAATGGCTCTCCCAAGAAACCGAAAAAACTTTTGTCACAAACATTTAACAAGTGGCCTCGTGGAAAATAATAAGTGTATTAAGTGTGTAAAGTTTGTAAAAAGTGTATAAAAAGGGTGAGGCTGACCGTTTAGAGTATAATATAAAAGTAATCTATAGACGTTAAAAAAGATACATATTTATATTTGTTTAATCAATATAGCTTGGAAGCTGTAAATGTATAGTTTATCACAACTAGAAATTTATTTGAGGGGAAAAAAAAAAGAGTTAAAAATCAGTCAACGTAAGATACGTAAATTAATTTTGAATAAACTATACATACAGGAATTATAAAAATATAGTGCTGTATTACTTGTTTTTAAACTTTAAATTATAGGTAACTCTTTTAAAGCTTCTGGGGATGACAACCACTTATACTAGACATATTTAATATGTGTTTGAAATCAGTTAGCTAAATAAATTAATTGTAGTTATATCTACTTTATCTCGTTTTAAATGTTTAATCCTTCCCATTAGATTTTGTTCCAAGTCAACAAGTATAAATCAATTATAATAATGAATATGCCATACGATAAGTGATATTACTAACAAAATACAAAAAGTTGGTTCGTTTACCATTCATTTTTTATGTAGATTGGAGTTTTATAAATATTTATACTTTTTTAATCTAATTCATTTTGAAAATATATTTTACGAACAGTTACAGATTTCATATTTTTGTATTTAATTAAAAGCTCAGTAAATAGTTTGTTTTTATAAAAAAATAATGTCATCTGGATATTACGAGCACTGATAAAAACTAGTTTGTTAACCATTTTAAATAATTATCTAATCGTATTAAAGAGAATATTCGGTTGCTTCACGTTGCGTTTATTTTGCACCGTGTGAATTTCATCACTCAAACCTGATAAACATAACGAATACCTAATGAATTGTGTAAGCAACTTGGTACAGTCTGTTTTACAAACATTCTTAGTCGATACATATTCTACTGTTTAATATTTACAATTTTTTTTTACAATAAACAATAATCGTATATATTTTCAACTGTTTTTTTTTTTAATGAAAAATTTTGCAATTTTTAATTTTCAACGACTGTCACAATAATTACAATACATCAACAGTGTTGTTTTAATGGCGCATTTTTAGTCAATTATTTAGTAACTGTTTGTTTATACAAATTAATTTTCGCACGTCATAATATTGTAAAACACGAATGACAATATACCTAATGAAAAACGTTTAAAAACTCGGGTTTTAATTGTTTTCTTTTTTCGGATTACTGAACTCGGTTTTGCACGTTTTTAAGTCGATTATTTTGAAACTGTTTATGAGAATACGTTTTCTATTTACAGATATAAACGTTACTTTATGTTTTTCACAAAAGGTAATGTACCAATCCGAGGTGTACCGGTTTAGTTTCCTAAATTGCAAGTCACTTATGCAAATTCCCGGTTAATAATGATATTATACATTTAGTATTCAGTAATTGCCTACGTCATTCCAAAGTAATTTTTCATGTAGCTACTTGTCAGACTACTAGTCTAGACCAGTTATATATATATATATATTATTATTACTACAGTCACGGTACGTTGTAAACACTGTACAGGGTGATTCAGTGACTATGGTCTAGTCGACGTGTTAAAAGATTTTAAATGTTTTTTTCTTATATAGTTAATAGTTCACCCAATTTTAAGGTGTTTTTCATAAATATAACCTCGTCCGTTATGTGATAAAACCTGTTATAAACTTTAGATTTTTTAATAGTAAGATTTGTTAATAGAATTTGCAGGATAACCAATGTTGATTGATTACTTTTCAAAAATATGTATTTAAAAGTTAAAACTGGTTATCGACCAGCCAAAATTTTATTTTTTGTAATTCATACATTCCAGTTTAAAGTAGCTAAGCTCTAGAAAATACTAAAAAAGGTTAACATTTAGAAATTTAGGATATTGTAAAGTACTATAAACAATATTTATTTTTAATAAAAAAAGCTTAAAAATAGTCATTAAGTTTCGAAAAATTATTCTCACATTAATTACTATTAAAAAAATATATCAAATTTAATCTAATACATGAAAAATAATAATTTAAAAAAGTCTAATATCTTCTAACTGGTCCATAGTTAACTGCTCACCCTGTGCACACACACAGTATAATCAAAAAATTTACATACTATGTGTTTTTAATTTTAACATGAATTTTCAATTAGTGGTCCTAACTTAAATCTCTATGCGTATTCCGGTCAAAGCGGTCTGTCGGTTTTTCCTTTTGTTTTTATATACTATCATCACTCGAGACGTTAATTGTAATAAATAATGATAATAATAATAATAATGATAGTCAACGTTTTTATAACTATCGTAAGTTACTATTATTAGAAGAACACTCACTAATTGTTTTAACACAATTACAAGTTAATAATTTACAGAAGTTTATGTCAGACGAGTATAAATTTTATATTTTTTTTATGATACTCTTTCTGAAGATGGTCAAGTTAAAAATATTGACTATTATTAGTTAAATTTAGTCCGATTTTTATTTATTAAACGCATTTAGCTGATTACGGAGTTGCACTTAACAATGGACAGTTCATAAAAATGTATTTTTCAATGGATCGTCATGGTTGTTGATTGAAAATTATTAAAACGCTCACAATACACAATTTTGAAGAATTATTCAAATATATTAATTTATTATAACGTACTAAAAGCTAGCGGTATCTAATTTTAGAACGGTAGTTAAGTTGCAAGAATATGTTATTAAGAGTATAAGGCTTTGCCATAATGACTGTACGTTTTACATTTGCCTACTAGTTGATCGATTTATTACACCAGGGCCTAGTTAATTTTCCTCAAGGTTGAAAGGTTTGAAAATGATTAAATAAACTTGATGTCATTGATCAGGTTTGGTCACTCTAATGGTAAAATATAGGTGTTCCTTATTACGCCTTTGAAATAAATACGTTTAGTGCATTATACCTATGTTATTGATATATTTAAAATATAATTGAAAAAACAAATTTATCGAGTTGGATTCGCACATGAGAAATATACCTAATTAAACTATTTCCAATAGAAAAACTAGTTTAAATAAAAAATTTAATACTTTTTTCAAATTACAATATAACGAAGTCGAAACCCATTAATTTAGTATAACAAGGTGCAAATATATTTAAGTTAAATTAATACATTGACAATAAGTTTTAATGAAAAAATTTCACAATAATATTATATTGCCATTACTTTTGCTATGAATATATTTTTTTTTAATAATAAAAATCCTTTAACGTGAAGACTGCGGAAAACCCCCAATTGTATTATTTATGCGGACAACAAAGCTACAATAATAATAGTTATTATAGAACAAATGAAATTCGTTTCTAAGAGCTTTTCTGTGGATGTGACAGGGATATATCCTTTTTTTTTTTTTTGCATATTTGTTTGTCAACACACTCTATATGTATTGAGTTGCCGTTATAACACATCCATCTGTATAATATTATATTAAATGATGGACATACCTACGTGGAGAACCGTGCAAGACTTGCAAGGTAAGTACATACCTATAATATATGCCACCCGTTTCGAAACGGTGTAATAATATTATGTTAACACGTGAAGCTATTATAGCATATATGTTAGTCCGCGTGACTGATGACTTTAACGCAAGACACAAGGTGTACTTAACACAAGATCATTATTCAATCTTAATTTTTCAAGAATCATTCATGCTACACTTCGACAGCGTCAGTGTCATCGACAGGTAGGTATACAAATACACATTGCGCATCTGTTCTTTAAAAATTAAAACTGTTTCTAGTTCATATCCAAAAATAAGAACCTCGCTACGAGTTCTCGTTCCTTATGTTTTAGAGAAGGAACTCATTCCGGATTCAGTTCTTCTAAAAAATGGAATTAGAAAAAAACCGTTTTTATTGAAAAATGCGGGGTACAATTTATGTATACTTATATTGCTTACAGTAGGCCACTCATCGAGTATGATCTATTTTTTTTTTACCAACAAATTTTTGAATCAAAACAGAAAAAATATTAGTAATCACTTCACGCGAATGAAACAGCTGATAACGATCAAAAATAGTTATGATCTTCGGTTGAAAACGAAACTTAATTTACCATAACTGGTAACTTCCAAATATATTTAAGTGTTAAAATAAGTTTTGACTATTATTGATTATCGAAAATTACACAATAAAAACGATTACTAATATTAAAAAAAAAAAAAAAAATAGAAGAATTATAATCTTCTTTTGTATAGGTACCTCGAAAAAAGGAATTCTTTCCTGTTCGTCATCCCATTGTTCTGAGCAACCAGTTCCAAGCTACGTTACTACAAAAAGAACTCGTTCCAGGAATCCATTCCTTTCGGAACGAGTTTCTTCTCAACACTTGACTATTCGGGTTGTATACCGAGTGATCCATTTAACGTAAGACACGCATTTTCTCAAAAAATAACTACTAAATAGTAACGTATATATTCTATAAACTTTTCCAATTAATAATGATAATTTGCTGAACACTTATACTAGTATACAATCAGTTTTGGTTCATTACTTTTAAAGATATTAAAATTTCAAGTTTAGGGCAAGATAAAACTTATACTTCATCCACCATTCGTCCCCCATCCTTAATTTTAAACTTTGGTAACTTTAAAAAAAATTATTCAAAACTGTTCAATGGCCGATCAACATTTTTAGAAAATTATCCTTAATTTAAAAAGTTAATTAAATATATTACGTTACCGTTTAACGGTATAGGCTCAGATGAACTTATAAAAGGGATAACAAAACTGTTTTAAAATAAAAAAATATTTTGAACGAGATGAATTTGTATTATTGTTATTGCTCTAGTTTCTCATAATAATCTCAGTCTAGTTTTAGTTTAAATCCATGTATTAAGTGGTTAGGGGTAGTCAGACTTTTCGAAAAATTCAACCTTTATTTTACATTTCTCGAAGTATATTTATTTTTAAATTTAAAAACTTAATTTTAAAAATTATATTTACTTTAAAAACTTAGAATTTATTTAGGTGTAAAATTTTAAACGGATTCCTAAGAAAATGTATACAGCATATTCTAGGCATGAAAAACTATAGTGTATTGCTTAATAGAAGGATTTTCTTTTATATATATATAAAACAATAAACAAGCATTTTTTTCCATATAATTTTATATGCCGCCATTTTGCAAACACTAGTTTTTATGGCTAGAATATGCTAGATAAATTGCATTGAAATCCGTCGAATGTTTTTTTTTTTTTTTAATAATATATTGGTCACCGTAAGACATTAATAAAATTACAGAGAAGAGATAAAACTTGGTGCAGACTTGATATTTATGTAAAATTGTCTTAAAATGTAGAAAACATTACACAACAGTTCAGAAAAACAATTGTTTTAAATGTTATTAAATTTGTTCTACCCTCAGATTAGTGATCGCCCCCAACCCCCTTCTTAAACGAGTAATGCGAATAGTGCGAGCAAATTTTTTTTTAATTTTGGTGGACTTTTTATATCATTTAAAAAAACTTGTATCATAAATCTAACAAAAAAAAAAAAAACCACCCTGAATTTAAATTAATAACGGTGTGCAGTACTCACGTGTATCGCTTAAGCTGGACAGCGTTCGTGGGTCCGTCCGGGTGACAAGCAGCGGTGTGTATGTTATCTGTGCCAAAGCTCTTTGGTCCGACATCACGCTGGAGGTGAAAGTGATTTTTTAGAATTAAAACTGCTAAGGCGATTATAAGACGACGACGGCGGCGGTACGAAACCGTATTATGTCGTCGGCAATAATATACATACGTGCTAGGTGTAGTCGTTTATTTATTTTTTTATTATTTTTACATGTGCTTACGAATTTGGCGCGCAAGGTCGACAGGATTCCGTTGTGTTGACGACGGCGCGGCCGGTATATTATTATATTTGTAACTGTTACAGTTATATTAATTTTTTTTTTTTCAATTTTTTCATACACGGGCTACCGATAGTGCAATAATATCATTTTTACCGCCAACCGGTCGTACCGCAAGAGGAACATACACGTCCATCCAATCGGAATTATACTCTTATTCAAATCTTAGACTCGGATTCCGTTTCTGGAAACCCTCGAGACGTCCCCAAAAAACGCCGTTGGTACCGAGACGTTAGCAAACCAATCGTTGCATTTGGTTGGCGCAAACCGACAACATAATGAAAATATTTTTCGAACACCTGTTCACTCATATAGCAATCTGGCAGTATCATATGGCCTAAGTGTCATTTTCCCCCATTTTTTCGGTTTTCCATTAAGAAAAAGAAAAAGTTTATATTTTTGAGAACATTTTTTTGTTATAGCTTAAAAAATGTAAAATTGTATTACAAAAAAAAAATATTACTGTAAATTTTTTATTAATATTTAATCATTATACTATCATACATATGTCTATTGAAAATATTCTAATAGTTATTAATTATTAATTGACAAATTGTGTTAATAAACTATTTTTAATTAATTATTAACCTTTAAATTTTACCTGTGCATTTAATAGACGTTTTAATATAAAGTCATTTCATTTCAAAATCGTTTTCAGCGTTGTTTACACGACTCATTGTTTGTAATTTGTATGTTTTATATTAAAAAAAAATGAATAATAAATAATAATAGCAGACTTATCCTATTTTAGAGAAATCATTTTTTTTTTTTACAAAACCTAACTATATTTATAATGAGCATGGACAGTAAAAATTATGTAATTTGGTCAACACACAAAATGAGGTAGACAGTTACTGTAGTCATGTTCCTCTTGTTAAACACATAAAAGAGCTGAAAGAAGTTCAACATACACTCCAGTACTTATAACTAACTTTATCCACTAAGACATCTGAATTTTAAAAAGAAATCTACTCTCAAAAATTAAAAACTAGTAATTATTAATTGTTTATAAAGTTCTTTCAAAAAAGGTATTTAAGTATAAATCGTGTAGCACTCGTGTCAACTCAGTTACTGAAAACATCCTGGTTTGGACAGGCATCTCTACTACAAACAACAAGAATGATTTATCTTAAGATCAAGAAGATAAACAAATGTTTTTAAAAAATGTAACAAATGTAAACAATTTATAACAATTAAGGTATATCCTAACCGAGAAAAAAATGCGTCGTTAGTATTATAAATCTTATACTAAAATAAAAATGTATTAATTTTTTTTTTTTTAGTAGTCAATTGACGCAATTAGTATTGCGAGTCTTACAATAATACATTTAAAAAAGTACAACAATTTAATGATTTACTAATTGCAATACATTTTTCAGGAAAAATGAAAATAAACGTGTAGAATAATAATTTGAGGACTATGAATAAAAATTGGAGTTTTTTTTTAACTTAGTTTAAAATTTTAGGAAAACTTTAAAAAGGACAGAAATCGTCGAGCATTACATTTTTTAAAGCGTGTAAAGGTAATTTGGAAACATCTTTGTTAGCATTTATAACTAACCCATTAACATTACACCGTTCAATAATTTTATTTAAATCAGATTGTAATTTGACACAAGCTTTAGTTGGTCAGCAAACAACAAGCAATTACAATACTTAAAATTAGGATAAAATCAGTGATATGCTACCACCTTGAGGAATACCAGAGGTAACGTCAAGAAACTGGGAGGTACATTTACCTTTTCTTTCTTTACTTGTTGTTTTTTTCCAGAGATTTCTACTTAACCCTTTCATTCCTAGGAATTTTTTTTTTCGAAAAAAAAATCAACAATTTTTTTACGTATCGGACTGATATTGATTATCAATATAGCTGTGTCGATTTGTTTATCATCAATCTATACTAGAACTTGTGTTTAAAGACATTTTTTATAATGATAGTACGTTGTTAATATTTTATTCGATTTTTTGAAGTTTTTAAAGTTAAATCCTCTTACGAGGATGTCAGTAACGAAGGGTTAAGTTCCTTTCTCGAATTACCTCGAGTACCGCCTGCAAATCGATTAATTATTCTCGCGGACTGCTATAAATATGCATATAATTATTCACAATTATGATAATTAACAGGTATTTCGTCGATAGTACCTATCCTAGGTACACATGTCACATAACTCAAATGTAGCATGTGTGATTTAGTTGAGAGATTCGTGACCTCTAACGGTGGTAAACGTACGAAGGATAGATAAACAATAAAACTATAATATGATACAATAAAACCGTGTCAAGTACGCGATCTGGATATGTGATACAGTTTGCTTAGCCGCCTGCCCAAGGAGACATATGGCGCATTAACGTGGCAATTAACCAGTGCAGTTGTTTTTGTTATTCCGTTTTGACTTGAACGATTGTGCCGAATAATCCAATTAGTCGGTCTCCAACTGACAGCACAATTAATAAAATACAAAATATTTAACGATAATTTTAAAACCCCCAGTTAAACATAATAATTGCGGCCAACCGGTTCGGTTTGGACGGCAGTGAACGTTTATCCGACTTCCACAATGTAGACGTCAACATGAAATATAATATTATTTCCGTAAAAAAAAAAAATATTATAGTTGTTAGTTTGTTCGTCAAAATCCCCGAAAGTCGCTGATAAATAAAATTAAAAAACAACACATTTTAAGGTCGGAGAGATCACAATTTTGTCGGGAATTACCTATTACAATATTGAATCTAATAAAATCACTTTTAAATGACCATTTCGATGCAAATCTCAAGATAGTAGAAATTCACACATAGGTCCCCATTGCATAATTTTAACTAAATCGAATTGCATTGATTTTTGGCAATTTTGGCAATTTTGCAATAAAACTTAACATTAATTGAAAATGTGTAAAGTCATAGTATATTAACACAGCAAATAATAGTACCTATGTAATTTGATTTTTCCAACATACAGGCCCTATTTATGTACAAAAATATAATGTTTAGCGGGTACCGCTTAAAATATTATAATTTCACAAACAGAAAACAATGTACATTTCATATCACTTTTTTGAAAATTGTACAAATGTGAAATACTGTATAACTATCCCAAAAGTGTCTTGTATAAGCTGGAAAATTGTTTAACAGGTCATTTAAAATATCTAGGTTGGTATAACATAATATCATAAAAACTATGTCAATTTGAGCGTTATAATTTTTAACAAGATTTTGTAAAAAAAAACTTTTTGAGATTATAATATTATATTTTGGTTAATATTTCTTATAAAATCTCACCCTCTAATGTTTGTATTAAAAAAAATAGAAAGAGCGTACACAATTTTTTTTTTGTAATGAACGGTTGAAGTATTTTAGTTGTTGTTTCAAAAAATAATCTGGATTTAAAACCCTGGATTACTTAATAACACCAATTAAATCACTTTGTTTAAATCTGATATACATTATTAACCAAATTAATAAAACTTAACCAATTTCCATAAAATAAACCTAATTGTGTTGTTATTTTGTATTTTTCGTAACGGGTTAACCGTTAAACAATTATTGACCTTCAGTAATGGTATAAACTTGCTAAAATATATATAGATCATATATAATACATAACCAAGGCAAAATATAACGCGTAGGCCAACTAAATATATATTACGGTTTAATGGGTCTAACAATTTATTTATTTAGTTATATTCTAATACTATACCTTTATTGCATTCCTATATTAACTAAAATTATAGTTGATCCAACTATGTATTATATTTTTCCATGAAGTTTGCAAGCATTATAATTTGTATAATTCGAAATCGATAACACTTGGTACTTGTTACCTAGCTATAATCGTTTATATTCGTTCATGCTATTAGGATCGAGAACAAGTAATAATTATCTTGTAGGATTACAATATTTGAATATGAAAAAATACAAATTTTGTCAACCCCACTGTACAGGTTGTTTTAATTGAATTTAAAATATATACATTTAATTTAATTCAAAATGAAATAACTTAATTATACTCACTTAGATTTAAGTATACTATAGAACATAACTGTTTGAAATCGTGTGCTTTTAAAGTTTTAAGTTTTAGTTGGTCTGTCTATCTTCCTGTTCAAATGTCATAAATAATGCATATTGTTGATGGTCATAATTAAACAGGCGTAAGAATGTTGTCAGATGTGTGTAAACACAATTAAAACACTGGCCATTTGCCGTAGCCTTTCCATCCGGACCATCACCATACCATAAACATCCATGAACACAGAACACATTATATATTATGTGTTTACTTGAATATTGAAAAAAAATTCCAATATGCTCACATTCGACGGTTTCTTAGGCCGTTTTCCTTGGCAATGATAAACATGTGTAATGTCAACGTCGACCGTTGATAACCGATAACTGTATGCTTAAGTACAGTATGTCATTTATGTAATTGTCGCATAGACCGCCGCGTACGAATATCCTCGTCTATGTGATAATCATTTTAAAAATGTGTATAATATTTATTTTAGCCATTTTGTCGGTTACTTTTGACCGTGGCGATTTCCAGCAACAAAGGTGGGTGACCAAAACACTTGCCGACGCTCTGGATAATTACTTACCGGATGGCGGACAACTTTGTGAACGTCACGGACAAACGTACCGAGAAGGGCTCAAAGACTTTAAGCTTTGGGCCACCCGAAGTGAGTCTATGTAATTTATTGATAATTAAATAGTTAAAAATTATAAAATAAGACGATTCGTTAGTGTGATAAACCAGAATAGACATACTGTGGTCGGGGATGGACAAGACTCAGATGCATAACCGTTTATCGCCAATAAAAGCTATAATTATAAAATAGTCACGAATCGCTTAACAGGTCAGGTATTGTACATTTTTTAATAATACTATAAATAATGACGGCTAGTTTTAATGAAATAAATATTTGACGTTTTCTAGATGTTTCATGCACTCATTTTTAAATTTGATTAATTTAGTAAACAATTTTTTTAAAATAGCTTAATTAATATATTATTTCTTTGATTAGAAAAAATGAAAATTCCATCTCTTAAAGAAGGAACAAATAGCTGATAATGAATATGTTTTATGGCAACCACCTACTTCTAATCTTAATTGATTAGTTGATAAATAAATAATTAATAAATAATAAGATAATAATAACCGCCTGATTATTAAAAATAAACACGCATTTTAGCTCAACAGTGAGACAGATTTTTGAGCTTGCTGAAAAGAGGTACCCAAATTTTAAATTGACCCCGTCACAAAACAAATTCATGTTAAAAAAATCATTGTTCATGTTATAATTGTAAATTTCTGTGAATACCAGATGCTAAAAATACATTTAAAATAATATGAAAGAGCTAACTATGTTAATTTCTGAAATAATTTATTTACTATTATGGTAAGTGTAAATTTCCAGTTTACTTGCTTAAAAATGAATAAACAAAAACACTATCTTCTCAGTTCTGCATCAAAGCGAAAAAAAAATTGATGTAGACAGTTCCATATCAGTTGTATTGAACGTGCCCATTTAAGATAAGTCAATCTTAAAATAAACTTTTTAATTTTTTTTTTCCCCCAGTGTACGATTCATCGTCTAAATTTCCAACTGGCATTCTTGCCGGCCGATCGTTTGATTTTGGACACTTTGACGAATGTTTGGAAACCGACACGACCGGACTGGGATTCCAACCACAGTATTGCATTGTAAATATCCGTTTTTCACCTAGTCCTCGACTTTATCCGGATTTCTACAACACTTCATCGCCAAAGTCGAGCCCCAACGTTTCAGCGTGGGAAGCCACCAAGGTTAGTCGTGCAGCTTATGAGTAAAAAGGCGACTACAATGTATAAATTGATCAAAATATTTCGGTTATTTTATTTCTGATATTTCCTCTGATTTCCTCTATTGTGACGACTGTTGTTGTCTTAGTTCGATCCGAATCCGGCTAAAATTCAACGCAACGAGATCAACACGGCCATTTGCGTACCTTCCTCGTGTACTCCTTCGGAATTGCAAAATTCGTTGTCTTCCAAAGTAATTACTGCGTTTGCAGAACAGAGTATCGATGCTTATGTCACGGTCAACCCAGTGTATTGTACCTCACCGGATCATCAACCGCCAAAGTTATTTGGATATAAAATATTTTGGTAAGAACATATATATATATATATATATATATATTAGAGTAGTTCAAAAAAACCTTACTTTAGAGTTTTGTTTGCAGCACCTCCCTAAAAAACTCTAAAGTAAGGTTTTTTGAACACGATTTCCTTTTTTATGATAAAAAAAAATAGTTCTATGAAAATTTGGGTTTGATTTGCTCAACTCCCTCACATGCCGCATCGGGGTTAAAGTTTAGCTAGAAAAGGTTCTGATATAGATCCTCTTTAGCTTAAGTTGTGTAAAGACATGCGAGTTCCTTGGCTAGTTTTTACTAAGTTATGTCGATACAGATTTTTTTTATGTAATAAATATCGCGTTTTATTATTTGTCAAAATTAATTTATTTAATTACAAAAAAATGTAATCAAAGCTAAAAAACACAAATAAGAAATCGGCCTTTAAGCCACCGTAGAAGGGCTGAATCAGCTGATGTTCAACTTTATAACTGAAAAAATAATTGCGTTTCCCTTAAGCGATCGAAAAAACATGATCGAATAATTATTTTCAACTGTTCCAATTGTTTTTAATGTTTAAAAAAAATGTTCTACAAAATACTTGCAAAAATCTACTCTCTAGTTGGCTAATTCCTGTTAAAGTAAAATAAGGAAATTCACGAGCAAATCAAACATGGCGCAATAAATGAAAACCCATGATAGTTTATTAGAAAACTAATTCAGGATGTTCAGTAATTTCATCTTGCCATGTCATTGAAGAAATGTTAATAGCAATACACACATTAAATTTCTGACTACAAAAAGTACATGACAGAATATTACCAAATGCTAATCAACAATACTAACTATACTTAAAGGCTGTTGCCTGTCAGTTAAAAATGTAAAACGTTAATATAATTATTTTTGATTGTATTTAAGCACGAATTATCAAAAAATAAATAAAAATACATACAATTATATTAAAATCCTGCGATTATTAAACCATATTTTTTTCGACCGCATCCAATAAAACCTTATAAAAATTATTTTTAAAAATCACCTTCACTATTTTCAACAGGGGCTTTGTTTTGTTTATTGTCGGAATAACAATTGTGGGCACGCTATACGATGTGTTCACGTTAAAAGAAAACCAATCAAAATTAAGTGAGTCGTTCATGTTTCTTTCATAACAGCTAAACCTAATTTATATTGTTTTCAGTGTTGAGAAAGAACTCGTTCCAAAAAGAACGGATTCCTGGAACGAGTTCTTTTTTAAGGAACGAAATTTCAAAACGCTTCCTTTTAAAATTCCTTTTTTTAAGAGACGCGAACCAAATGTGTCTATTTAGTTTCGGCTAAAAATTTTGCTGGTAAAAATTATTTCATACTTATAAGTAGTAAACCAACCATAGTAAAATAGGTACATCAAAATATTAAGTATAAAACGGGTAACATTGTTATGATAATTTAAATTACACCTCAGTATAGAGAAGGAGTTATTTTTTTAACTATATATTTTAGTTAACATTTAAAAAAAATTCAGTTTTGATTCAACCGTGATTTTTTTTTATAGCTTATAGTACAAAACCTATAAGCTTATACCTATGCAGTATGCATATAATACATTAATAGACTATTAACTTGAATATAGGTTTTTTCTCTTTTTAGAAACATTTTTCGTGATATTCTCTTTTAAAGCCAACACCGATCGACTGTTTTTGGCTAATAGCAAATCCGAAGACTTGTCCGGCATTAATTTTATAAAAACATATGCGTGTATAACCGTCATACTGGGCCACAGATTGATCTATACCGTAGGCCAACCTTTGCATAATCCTAAAAACGTCGAAGAAGTAAAACACACACTAAACTCTAAAACCAAATTTTTTTCATCGATTCATTTTTTTTAGACAGCCGACCAATGGTCGCACGCCTTGCAGCGCAACGGAGCGCTGATCGTCGATATGTTTTTTGTAATCAGCGGTTTTTTAACGTTCCATTTCCTCTACGAAGAATTGACTAAAACCAAAAAGTTCAACTTGACGATGCTCCTCATTTGGAGATGGTTAAGGTGTGTTCAATATCTAAATTATTACTTTATATATTTAGTTTTTATGCGTACCTGAGGAGGTATTGTTTTTAAAATAATGTGTTTTTATTTTTTTTTTTTTTTTTGAAAGAGACAGGCAAGTTATGATTGACTCCAGCTCAGAAAAAAATTATCATGTTAAAAAAATGTATCTACTTTGTTACAGAGTTATGCCGTTGTACGGTTTGCTAATAGCGTTCCATACGTTTGTGTTGGCACACCTGACGAACGGTCCACTATGGAAAAAATTAGCCGTTAGGGAATCTGAGTATTGTCAGCAAAATTGGTGGACAAACGTGTTGTTTTTAAACAACTACGTGAACTCAAACCGACCGGTAAATATATCAAACAGTATATTTTAGCACTTAGTCATTTTGCCCAATGTGATGATATATTTGTGTGCATGGAAAATCATGTGTCACTATCATTATCATTTGGCATGTCTCAAAAATTGTCTATACACCTAGTATTTAGGTCAAAAAGATCATTAATAGTTACACTTCATCAATAAAGATAAAAACAATTAATTCAATAGCCATTTTCCCTCACACCGCTGGATTTTCTCAAGAGTTATGACTTATGGCTGACCATTTCAAGGCCACTCCTGATAGGTCGCTTGAATAAAAGCTGCATTTTATAAAATAGTATAGCAGCATTGTCTGCCAAGGATAGTTTTTGAAGAAATACCGTAAACTTTAGGGGTATTTTATAACAAGGTTATAAATTATAATGTAACTGAATGGTAATAGAAACTTATTTGTGAAGTTGAGAAAAATGAGAAATCAGATAGGTGGTGTTGCCACTTAAGCGACGATAATATGTAATAGTCATTTATTTATAATAACGTAACGACTACTAATAACGGTGATGTGATAAAGAAGCAGGCGTTAATTGAAAGTACTTTGGATTATAACTTAATATCAATAATGGTAGTTGAACTAAATTCGATTAAATTTATTTTTTTGGGCAACGAGGGGGATATTCTAGGATAGTAGAAGAGGAAAGATTAGAGAATAGTCGGTTCGTGTGGTTTTAAGTATTTCCATGGGATAATAGGTATACGATTATTTTATTTTATTAATTTAGATTAATTTAAAAGGTAAATAATTAATCAATTAGTTCTTATTTCCGAGTGGTTATTTATAATAATGATTATGTCGTGTACAAATTACAGTGTATGATACAGTCTTGGTATTTGGCGTGCGACATGCATTTCTTCATTGCCGGCGTACTGCTGGTGTATTTCGCTTGGAAGTACCAAAGATATAGTGTTTACGCCATGTTGGTTGTAATTTTTATATCTTGTCTAATTCCCACGTTCGTCGTGTACAGAAATCATTTTTATCCGACATTCATGAATTACATATCGTAAGTACACAATAGGTACCGGGTGATTCTTATTATTTATGTTTAAAATTTAGGACGAAAGGTGGAGAGCTGTTGAATAACGCACGCAGATAAAAATAACTCTACACTCCACCCTTCCTCCCGACCTGCATTATTTCAAAATTTAATAAAAACTATTTATTCAAATCCATTGTTATCGACCAGTCAAAAATGACTGCAGATTATTCTTAATTTAAAAAATTAATACAATTTATACGTTACTATTCAAGTTTCAAAAGCTGATAAAGCTATAAAAAATACCAAAAAATATAAGAATTTTAATATTGTCTAATATTGCATAAAAAACAATATTTTAAAAAAGAAAAAATAGGCTGTAACTTGATAAAAAAAATTGTCATCGCGAAATAACAAGAGTGATTTTGAACCGTAGGAATCATTTTTTTTTTAATTGTAAACATTTTCTTTAAATCTTAAAATCATACTTTAGACGTACAATTGACAATAATTGTGTATTTATTCCTAAAGACCTATGACCAATCTGACCCCACTGGACTAGGTTTTATAATTTTAATAATGTATAAAAAAATGACCCCATCAAACGATATAACTGCATAATTGTTTTACTTACATCAGGACACTGAATCATCTTCCTGACCATCGAAGTTACACAGAGTTATACATTCCCAGTCACACGAGATCGACGCCTTACTTCGTTGGCCTGTTTGCGGCGTACGTTTATCGCTACTTAAGGTTGGACAAGCCAAAATTCCAATTTCCGTGTCCAAACGTTTTGCTGGCTTTGCTTTCCATTAGCTGTGCACTACTATTTCTAACGGTCCACGTGTTCTACATGTACAAATATAACCTATGGATGAGCATCTTCTACGCGCTCACGTTCCGCTTGATATTCGCCGCCATCACATCAGCCATCATACTGATATTTGCCGTGAACAAGATCAAAGGTAAACGATCAAGTGATTATTATTTTTATCCTTCGCTCATCCTGTCCTTGCATGCCCAAACCACAGAATAAACAATCAACAGGAGGGAATCTTAAGAGTTTATCAAAAAACGATCACGCATTTTGAGATTTAGCCAGTGATGCCAAAATCAGACATTTCCTTTTTTTTTCCCAGTGATTCATGGCATACACTCTGTTCGTTTTTTTAAATAGGTCGTACACTGACTACAGTGTCATCGCAATTTTCCGCATTTTTCGAGTGAACAGTTTAGCCGGAATGAACGAAAAATTAGAAAATTCTCTACACCTACCAGCACTGTCCATTTCTCGATAATTGTCAAGATATGGGACTTACAAATTATAATATTTTTATAAAAATACTTCACAAAAAAAAAAATGTTTTAATGTATTTGGGAATTAGGTAAATTAACAAAGTATGTGTAGTGACCAATCACAACTCGTGGACATAATCAGAGAAGGTTATCAGACGGCGTATTGAATAGGCAAAACAGTTACACGGTTGAAAAGTTAAAATACCAAAATTAACACTAGCGACTAATTTCTGAATGAAATAAATTCTAATAAGAAAATTGTAAACTTTTCAACTTTTATATGCTATTACATATTATGGAAATGGAATTAACAATTAACAATGGAAGTATCTTTTTCCGTTTTGTTGAAACTTGAATACAAATCTGGTCTCACATTTTTCCTAGAGCGTATGTAATTTTCAAATGTATTTCTCTTCAAGCTGTATTTAGCCAGAAATTAAGACAGCCTATACACTTTTTTTTTTTTTAATTAACTTTTTAAATACTTGGGATACTACATACATTTTGGGATGCATGCACTATGTAGTTAACAATTACTCAATAATAATTAATTTAAGGAGGGGGGGGAGAAAAATGTAATTTAAATAATAAATTGTAATAGTTGAAATTGTGTTGAACTATAATAAAATACGAGAGACGTCCAGAAAGTAAGAGTACTGTTACTCTCTTGGGCTGTGAGGAATCTTTTTCTAAGTTTGGCAACACTGATTGGTAGTGGGGGGGTTCTCCTGAACACAGTATAACTGCCACTACCACTACCACTTAGTGTTTGTGTTGCCAAACTTAGAAAAAAAATCCTCATAGCCCAAGAGGGCAACAGTACTCTTACTTTCTGGACGTGCCTCGTATATACCTAAGTATATTAAATTAAGTACATATACCCGGTGACTTGAGCTCCTCCCTCTCCCCTAAGATTTTTCCTCTTTGCAACACTGGATTTATAAGCTTAGCGCTATTTGGATGTATTGTAATCGAATATTTTTTGTACATTTTTATAGTACAGAATTGTAAATTGTACTTGTTGCTAATCCATAATTTATTTTACTGAATTACTAACAATTGACATTTTTCGCTCCTCGGCAGGGTGTTTGACCAATGTGTTTGTGCCACTTGGAAAATTAACCTATGGAGCGTACTTGGGCGGTTTGACCATGCAGTTACTCCAGGTTGCGTCTGTTAGATCTCCAACATATTTCAACCCTAAGCTAACGGTAATTATGTTATAATATATATAAGTTGCACTTAACGATTTGGTAGGTACATAGTTATGTTCAGATCAAATGTTTATTTAAAAGTGATTTTATCATTTTAGCTAGCTAATTTTATTTTCAGCAATAATTAACAATTTAAATGCACGTAACTGTTAGTATATTATAATGTTTTTTGCGAATATTGTGTTGCCTAAATATATGAAATATAATGTACATACATTATTAAATAGTACAAATTGTTTTGACTTATATAATATGTTTTTTTAGTTGTGGTATGCTATTGCAGATATAGTGGTTGGCTTCATAGTGGCGTTTTTTCTGTATACTTTAATTGAATCGCCATTCGACACCTTACTTAAGCAACTCATTCCCAACGCGAGTACAGGTAATCTATTGATAGATTATTGTATCATATTATTACTATCAATTTATTAATATATTGATATATATTCATAACATTGTGTTAATAATGTATTTAAACATAAATCGTATTAGTAATTAAAATATTAATAATATTTATAATAATAGTAGTAGGTAATTAAAGTAAAATAATAATATTAGGCATAAATGATAAAACAAATAGTACACCCAAATAAATAAAGCGTCGTTTATACGACAATACTTATTTAAGCATTACTTGTTTATGGTCTATTTACATCACTTAAATGAAGAAAAAAAATGTCTTTACAAAACTCAAATTTTTAATAAAAACCCAATTCGTTTGAATTAATTAAATATAATCTCTGTAAAATGTATACTTAAATTAATAATTTGAGTTATATATGTATATAATATTTTATAATTACTATACTTGCGGTGAATCAATTTTTTTTTTTTAATTTATATTTTCTAGGAAGTGGAAAAATGAGAAGCCGGCCAAATCCAAATGTATCGAGAAACATAAAAATGGCACCACAATAATAGTGTTTATATTATTATGTAATTAGCTTTGAATGTTTTGCATTGCACCGCGCAAAACAGTATTATTAAGATTTGTGAAAAAATTGTTATGCATTATTTTGTTTGTACAAAAATAAAAACAAATAGGTACAATCGTACCTAGTAAATTAAATCAAATTTTTCTTACTCTTTCATATACATACGTTTTTTACTATTATCAATAAAACTTGGATAGTTTCCATGTAATCGGGACCGAGTGTAATGTAAGGGTCTGTTTTAACGAACCGTCAATTAGAACTTGCCAACACCTCGATTGTTTTAATTGTTAAGCGAGTATACAAAATTCACTGGAAAAAAAAATGTATCTCACACAAAAGGAACTTTTAACTTCTTGTCTTCATGCACTGATGTATGGGTAAAATATATCTGATAGTCTCAATTTCAAGTTGGCATAAGCAGTTTTAGAGTTGTATACATACATATTATATAAATTCATCATGAAATAAGCATCATATTATTTTGAATTTAAATTGAAACCCGTTATTCTTACCTACCGATTTCTAAATTTTCAATGGTATCTAAATTGTTCATGGAACTTTGATGGGAACATATTGTTGGTGTTAGTGTGTGCGACAGACGAATTAATAGCATCGATACGTCTTGTAATGCTGTGCAAAATTATACTTAAAACATCTATTCTGCCTAAAAACCTGAATAGTTAATCACAATAAGATAATATTAAAATAAAATTGTTACAATATCGTAAGCGTATCATTTATTATTATTATTTTTTTTACTAGAAATATAAGTAAATAAATAATATTATATACATACATTTTTAATGGTAAGGAACGAAATTGAACTAAAAGCTGCGGTTGTAATGTTTACAACTTTATAGTTTACAATTATATAATTTTAAAATGTATAATTTTCGACTAGTAAGTACTTATGTTTCTAGTTAGACAAAATGTATAATAATTTACATACACAAACAATATCAAAGAACTCAAGTACAACTTTTGTTTCAACAATCGGCAATTCAATTTTTTTTTTAACAACTATTAAAATTATAATATATATATATATATATATATATATTTAGGCAAAAAACACACAAATTCATAAGCACGTTTTCGATTTCATTAAATAACTAATAAGTTAAATATTTGTAACAATTTTGGTTATCGGAAACATTTTTTAAATACTTAATACTGAATATTTTATAATAATTAATAAAAAATTACATTAAGCTCATCTTAATGTATACTGGTTGTTGACCGCTCTGACTATGTTGCCGACTCCTGGTTCCGGAGTCGATCGATTAGAGAATTCAGCCTGTAGATCTTTTGTTTTCGTTCTAATCGGAGCCAACAAAGTTTTGAACTAAACAAAAATCATAATATCAAATAAACAAAGTTTGCCAAGAATCCTCCAGCCACCCTTACTTCTCGGTACAATTGAGGCGCAGCCGGTCGTAATCCATGCTCTGAATTTTGAGACGATGACGGGTTTGGGTGGCGAGTGATCAAAATAAAATCTCCGCTACTACCATTGGCTGGCGGGGCTCCTTGTTTGATAGGAGTGTTGACTATGAAGTCACGTAGGGTAACGTCGCCTGGACCACCATTTTCCAAAGGTATCAGGTGCGTCTGGAAATGTTCCAACATGTCTTGTATGCTGGAAAACGGAAGGTGTTGGACGCGACATTGACCTAGTTCGTTCAACGTCATTCGCAAATGCTGCGAAAAAATATATATAAATTTTCGAAACAGCGAGTATAAAATATTGATCGTTTTTTACTTTTGGTTTGCCTTTAAAATTGAACGTCAGAACATATTCGCCCTTACGGGTTTCTGATTGCCTGACCAGGAACATGCCATGACCATCGGTACCTAGGTGCGATACCAAATTGGTAGCGTCCGAACGTGCAAGCATACCGTGGAACCACGGGTACAGACGAAGAGATGTGGATATTTCATTTTCTTAAAAAAAAACATTGTGAAATAAAACATTATTTTGAATTTAAATTGTAAATCAATTTATTCTTACCAATGTCTGAATTCGTAATACTGTCTAAATTATTTGTGGAGCTCTGAGGCGAACTTAAAAGGGTGTCGGTGGTGTGTGCAACAGATGAATCAAAAATACCGTCAATACTACCTATAATACTGTAGTAAAGTGATATTTTAAAACTATTCTCTGAACAATAATACTTAGGGTTTTTTTCACAATACCTTATATCGTCATGTATGCCATCACGTTTGCGCATACAATATTTCACAGTCGCTAGCCATTGACGCATTTCTTCAGGACTTATTGCATCGATTATATATTCAACACTGTTTTCATCCTAAGAAAATACCAATAGAGATAATTAATATATATATACTATCAAATTTGTACAGAGTAGACTAACATCAAAATTAAAAATTAAATAATAAGGTTTCATTTTTTTTTTTTTTTTACATAAATTATTATTTTATTACAAAAAAATTGTATTTTATTTCTTTAATGGTCTAATTTAACTTGTCTATTCCAGGGAAAAAAAAATTCAATAAATTACATGTTGAAAAAAATGAAATATAATAATAATTAGACCCTCAGCTATTCAGAGGTTGCAAATTCTTCAGTGAATTTCAGCGACAAAAAACAATAGAAATAATAAATGTAAAAACTTGTTACCTTAAGAACAAATGTATTAGCGTATCGTTCAGGCATTTCAATTTCTTTGGTTTCTCTAGCATCTTGGATAAGAAAACAAAACACTCCGTGTTTGGGCTTGACAGACTGTGAATATATTAATTTATAGCCAAAAATATAAAAACAAGTCGACAATGCTATTCTTTTTTCCTATGCACTATACTACATACCTTGGGAGGGGAATAAAACTCGAGTGTATAACCGTTAGCGTTTTTAACCAAAGCGAGTCTCGCTTTTTCCCACTTTGGTTCACCGCCATCCAATGTTTCACCTAGTCTATAGTTGACAATGCCTTCTTTGCGACACTCCACGACAATTTTGGCTAACTTTTTTTTATATATTTTTGGTCTCTGCGACGCTATTGATGTAGCATCCAGTTCTACTTCGTCAGAATGTTGTTTGTGAAATAAAGGGCGGAGCGCTCTAAACGACATTCGTCTATAAAAAAAAAAAAACACAAAATACATAACTATCAAACATAGAATGGTATGTATTGGTCGAATTTAGCTCATAAAATGTTTACCGGAAGAAAGGCTTCTTCTTAATAGTGACCGTCGACTCTGGGTCTGAATCGCTGTTGACGGAATCATTATCAGGCCAATTGTACCTATCGCACTCGCGTTTAAAGTGTGTGGCAAACGCTTTAATAAAACGACCAAGTACTTCTTGCCGAGAAGACGGTTGAGTTGGGAACGCAGACACTAACCGTTCCGCACTGATTCTTGCTTGTTCGTCGCATAAAACTGTCCAACTACTACACGCATGGTTCATGGTTCTGAAAATTCACTGTATCATATAACCACAGAAAACGATACATAGTAATATACCATGGCAGCGTAAAGCGTTAAGTCTGTATCCCTATTGGGTTTTTGATTTCATGATTCAAATAGTTTTCGTTTTGTAATTATTTATTCGCGTACTAATAGTAATGACGACCTAATTACTGAAAAACATTAAATATCTAAGTAAAAAATTATACTTAACTGAAATCACTATAAAAAATTAATCGATTGCTAAAATACTTTAGACGGTCCGCCGCGGCTAGTATATTATAATTAATATTATGTATTTAATATTTTGCGAAAAAATGTTTAACTCTCATAGCGTGTAAACAACGTGAGTTATATTATCAGTTATCCGTATCACTAATTCGCTGCATAATAATATTACGATATTAAAGATAATAATTTCTATGTTATACCGTCGATATTGTTACCGCGAATACCACGATAATTTGGTTACCGCGTATCCGGTATCTTGAACGTAGGAATAAAATTAATAAAGACAGGAATCGAGACGTTTTAAGTCAATAAAGTAGAAAACGAAAGATGGACATTTAACAAATTCATTAACGCATGTTTTACTCATTCTAGAGACTACGATTGTTAATAAAAACAATAATATTGGTACAACATGAAATATAAAATACAATATTTTGAAAAAAAAAAATATATTATTATGTTTACAAATAATCCGCCGGTAGTGCTAAAAACTATTATCGTGATAAGATGTCGTGCAATATATTTTGCAACAGATCGATAACGATTTGTCAATATTGAAGTTGCCGATTCCACTCTTGAAGTCTATCTGTGGAGTCCGTGTTAAAATCCTAATCAAAAACAGTCCGTTGAATTATTACCGATTGTTTTTTCCTATTTTGTGCTGTGTTATATATAATAATATAATCTAAATTGCGCTCACATCAATATCAATTACTATGCCGGGACAGGCTTGAGCTTTGTTAAATTTGTTTTATTTTTAATATACACATATTTCTTTGATGATTGTTTTGTCACAGTTAATATCGACAGGATAAAAAATCGGTAACTACTATATTTTGCTAAATTAATTATTCAACAGTCTGGTGGACGTCACTCACGGTTTCCGTTATAATATAGTATACTATATATTTTATTATTTAACAGTAATTATGTCTAATCATACTTTGGATCCTTACGTAGCCGAAGATCTGTCCAACCGATTAAATCAGACCATTAGAGATTTAAATGAATTACATAATTTAGTTTTGGCGTGCCCCTCGTCGTTAGTCAGACCTGTCGAACATAGTTTAGAAAATGTTCGACACCAGCCATTAGAACGATTACTTAACGATCCAGTACTGGACACAATGTACAGTCGTGGATATTCCGATGGTAAAAAACGCAATGAACAAATGCAGACGATACAAAGTGGACAACTTATTTCTTTGAATGAACAATCATTAGTAGTCAAATCTATTAAGACTAGTAAAAATGATAGGCCAAAAGACGTCACAAACACCCTAAAAGTCGCAAATCCAAAAACGCGTACTCTACATTGTGGACCATTAAGTGACCAAGACTTTTATGGGACTTATACTTCATAATCAACCTTCATTTCATTTTTATACAAAAATCTATATTATTCATTAGCTTGTATCTATATATGTTATTATTTTGTGTAATAAACAATAACTGTTTTTGGTTTTTAAAATAAATATATATATTTTATGTTTTATATATCGATTATAACATTGCATCCTCTGCTAAAAATAATTTACTATTGAAATTACTAACCAATGGATTACTACTTCAATATTGTATTTACAATTTTGTTATTATTTGTACATATTAAAAATAAAGTATTTAATTGCAAAAATGTATTTGTTAAAAATTGTTTTCATTGAAATATATGAGGTTAATATTTTAACTGCTAATGTTTATTTTATTTAATGGTAATGGTAGTAGTATGGTAATGAATTATCTAGGTGGTGTTTTAAATGGTTTTAGTTTGTGATTTAATTGTAAATAGTACTTTTTAATGATTGCATTTAATATTATTAATTTTATGTATGGACTATTAAGAAAAGAATTTATACGGTAATTTTCAGGCGAGGTGCGAGTAATACAAGAGAAATTTAAATAATATGTGACCTACTGACTAATATCAAAACGCCGTTAAAGGAACTATCAGCTATTTTAAAATTTTACATAGTATAAGAAATAATGAAATAATGATAGTCGTTTTATCGCTTGTTTTACACTGTTAAATGTGACGTTCTGAGACATCTTCATACTTCCTATGTTATATAAATAATATTAAAATATCTTGGATTTAAAAAAATATTTTTTACAATTCAACAGGTAAAACATTATTTAAAATGTATTTTTGTAAATCGTCATATCTATTATAAATTAACTTGAAATTATCATTTCTCTTCAACGAGACTTACTACTGATGTGTTGATAGTACAATAATAAATACTTAGTTAATCTAGAAATTTCATTTGTTTAAATGCGATATAAATGAATAAAAAAAACATGTTTCCTAAGATAACTATTTTGAAGAAAAGTAAAAAAGTACTTAAAACGAATTAGTTTAGACTTAAGATAGTGCATGATTCTGACATTTGATTAGAAAAACAACAATCTTAAGTTTTCAGACACAAAATAAAACGCTATTGTAACAGATGGACATTTTAGGGAGATTTAATAAAGAATTTTTACGAATCGTCGTGATGTTAGTTAAGTAAAAATAGGTCGTAACAAAAATGTAACCCAAAAAGATAAAACTGAAATTGAAAATTCGAGATACAATTTGTATACTATAAATCCTTGTGATTTGTACGAATTCGTGACTACCTTTTTAGGTTAAAAACTAAAATTATGCACGACATACTTAATAAAAAAAATAGTTATCAGACTTTCTATTTGCTCTTGTATATCGCGTTAATATACACTATATTAACGGTACAGTCTTGTTTTCGTCTTTATTATATTATATTATAGTTATGATTAAATTACCAAAGGAAATCAACTACAGTTAATGTTATGTTAATTTTAATAAGTAATTACAGCGATTTTTACAAAGTTGAGGAAAAAACGTTATTAGCAACGGCACGAATTATATCTTGACATATTAAACATGTCTATATTATTTTCCTATTTTAATTATTATTACCAAATTTTGTTGGTGATTATTCACAAATTAACCCTTGCAAATTGAAGCAGAAATGCCACATGTTTTTTACATAATTTAATTTAGTTAGAAAAAAAATACATTTAATTTAGATGGCGCCATAATGTTAAAAAATTGCTATTTACAAGATGTCATAAACGTAACTTTTTTAAATAAATACTTTTTTGCTTATTTTTTTCCAAATTTCTGATATTGTAATCTTTATAAAAAAAAATTGTATAATATAAATTATAAAAGTTTATAAATTGGGCATTGCAGGGTTAATAAATATTAACTTTCACGTAGACTAGAATGAAATATCTTGCATTTTATAATTTGTAAAAATCTAATATATTATAATAACCACCGATCGATATTTTTTCGATAATCACAGTCGTGTTCGACTTATTAAAATAAAAAAATACATACGTCTATACCGAAAAAATTGTTAAAGTAAGTAATTATGTGTTATTTTCTCCGTCAAATTGGTCATACTGCCACGTGATTATTATATTTTTTAACTCCTTATACTATAGTCTATATACCTACCTAATATTAATATTATTACACTTGATAAAATACAGTTAATAATTGTTTTATCACAATATTATTATGCTACTATCGGCGGGTGACGTGCTACAATATAACAACCTGCCATTGAAATTGTGCGCTGCCAGTGCCGTCGTCCTTGTACATATGTACTACGACCAATTTATTTTTAATTCCTTTGCGTTTCAATCGGATTAGTTAAATTGAATTTTTTTTTTTTTTAAAACGAAAATTTACCATTTTTGCACAGATTTCAGAGGTAAATCAAATTTATTTATAATCATTAATTATAAGTTGAAATCGTACAATAATTTTGATATTGGCAACAGTAACAATAACAGTAAAATAAATTGTACAAATTAAAATATTACACGTCACAATTATTTTTATAAAATATATTTTAAGTCATATAATATTGAAATAATTATTATTATGTGAAACTATAGATAACAAATATCCACCTACCTTTGGCTAGACAATGTTGAAAAAAAAATGGGATAATATTCGAATCAAAATATCGAATGATAGGTAAATTAAAATAATAATATCGTCGACTGGTTATTATACAATATTCATTTCAGACTAGATTTGTAATATTATTATATTTTAGAAATATTCCCTAATTTATAATAATTTTATATTTAATTTTTTTTCTAATAGTAAAATGCCCGATATTGATTTTTGTACACACCAATATGACATTGATGATTGTTATCGGGATTAGATTGCGATGTACAATTTATTATTCTTATACAGTTTACCTATAAATACAAAAAAATAATAGTTAACTATATAGATACATTAAAAGAAGGTTTATATAAATTGTATTAAGTACATACCTATTACATTGCATCATTAATTATTATTTAAAAAAAAAATAAAATGCTTTTGTTATTGTAAAATATTTTGTTTAATCGTAAACCAAGTAGATTTATTTCGATACCACATTTATTTCAAGTTATTATCGGAGAAAAACAATATAGTATATTATTATAGAAAATATCAAATTCGATATAACACAACAGTATTTAGTTATTTAATTTTTTTATTGAAAACAATAAAAAATGTACTACAGCTGCAGCTGGTATGTTTATAATTTACATTTTATACTTAATTTTCTTGTTCAGTATTCTTATCTATATCTTAATTCTTATCTGATAATACAAATACATAATTGGTAGGTACACGAGAAAATAAAACGTGTCTTAAATCTTGAAGTTTATAATAATAATCATTATAATTTATAAACCTGTACAATATATTATACAACAATTTGATATATATATTGCGATAGCATTACATTTTTGTATTTACTTTTATTTTGTAGCAAAATTTAAAAGAATGTTTTGTTCGAAATTAGAATAAACATTCATCAGGTTTTCTTAAAATCTACAATATTCTAAATATATTCCCAAACACATTATAAATTAAACATTAAATAATATATTATAAGTATAATATTCAATCATAATGCACTTTCGTTTAACTAAATTGTATATCCGCAAGTCATTATGTAACTGCAGAGTGTTATATAGATATTATTATAATTAATAAATACCGATAATATGTTTAAGGTTTATTCATTGTAACATTGATTGAGAAATTATTCTGAAATTACCAAAATGTGACTTTCATAAGTACGTAATAGAGATACCAATTTGTATGCTGTATCGCGATTATTATAATTTACGTTCAGAATAATTGTATTCTGTTTTTTGTAACATGTAATAACCGTTTTTCTTTTTTGTTCAAATTTTATTAGTTTCATCCCTTAATTTACATATAGAGATTTTAAGATAATAATAAGTATTATAGTTTTGTTCTACGTGTGCGGCGTATATATCTTAATAAATTGATAGTTATCATCAGATGTGATACTTATAATGTTTAGTATTGAGTCATTTTTTTTTTTTAAATGACCCGACTTTTTTTTAGTTGTGTTTTCGTTAGAAACTTGTCAAACATGCATTTTTTAAAGTGATAACATTTTTTTTCAGCCATTTTAAAACAATGTTCTTATTTCACATTTTATATGGCCATCGGACGACAAATAATAACAAAAGTAACAAAAAAATGTCTAAACGTTTTACGTAGAGATATTAAATATGTATGTAGTGGCAACACTGCAAGCTTTTACGACCGAAGATAATGTTATTATCGATGTTATCTTATCGATATTATCGCCGTTGAGTAAATCGAATATTGCTATGTCATGTATAAAAAATTTACAATTTTTTTTTTTTATAAATTTAGCTCCCTTAAATCTCGTCATTTTTATAAAATTTAAAGTATTATTTTCGCGTATTTTACGGTCGTTCTTAATATTTTTCATTGGTACATTTTGATTACACTATTACGATGGTATACTATCGATTGTTTATCTTGAAATTCGATTATCCTAAGCTGTGGAAATTTCAGCTGCTGGCTGCAAACAGTGCGATCTATTTAGTTCAGACTTCGGTTTAGATTTAAGAACTCGTAAATTTATTTCTTGTTTTAATTTTTTTTACTTTCATTTTTTTCAATAATTATTTACGATATTAATATCTAAAATTAATAATTAAATATGTGGCTACTAACTAATATGTCTAGTTAAATATTTTATTTCGACATTTTTAAATCGTCATTTTTTAATCTACATTTTATACTGTAAGTAAATACTCATGTGTGTGTGGTGTGTGTGTGTGTGTATGTATATAATTGTTTATAAATTAATTTTTTTTTTTTATTAAAAATTAACCTATGAGGTAATAGGATTTTTTAAACTACTATAAGTTATAACTTGGAAATTGGTTTTTGTCGAAATTATACCAACATATTTTATAACACAAGTCGTATAGATGGTTTTTAAAAAAAATATTTCAAACATTTTTAATTATTTTTACTCATAATTAGGTATAATAATATATTAGTTTGATAATTGTATTTAACGACATTAAGTATAAAATTAATCATATAAATCAATTAGCATTTACATATTGTTTAAAATAATTAAAATTAAATAATTATTTGTTCGGTTGATATAATTATTTTCATTTAAAAATTGTGTGTACAAATAGTTTTTATTATATAAATTATTTAGTTTGATTATTAACAATTGTCATCATGATTTTAAAATATTTTATGATAATTTTTTTTGTTTGATAGGACGATACATTTTTGTAATATTGAGGGTTAGATTTTCCGATTATTTCTTAAATAAATTATTATTATTGAAATATTTATGAGTAATTATTTAATATCTTAATAAAATTAAAAACCAAAATAAAGAACAGATACTGGTTAACTAATTTTCTTATATTTCATAAAGCACAATAGCAACAAAAATATTGTTTTATTTTAATGAGTTAAACTACTGTTTTAAACGTTTGTTGAATATAACTTTATTTTTTTAAATTTGCTCTTATATTTTTCTTACTAGTCAATATTGGTGTTAAGTGTTTTATACAATAAAGTAAAATAATTAATATTTTATAATAAATTCCTTTTAAATAATTTTGTTTATTTTTTGTAACAAGGTAGTATTGGCCGTTATGTGTATATAAAACAAATAAATAATAATATGATTGTAGTAAATGTGTTATAGTCATAACAACTTGTATGTATTTATAGTTAAAACAATTCTTATTCCCTTTTGCAAGTTTCATGTAATAATATATTTATTTATTGAATTTTTGTGTCATATTTATTTTGTGTATATTCATCATGGTTGTATTATATTTTTAGTTGAACAATGACTGAAAAGGATTTGAACAAATTTCAATTTCTCCGATTGCTTAGTCTTCAAGCAATTACACCGTCTCCACCTAACGATACGCTAAAGGTATTTTTAAATTATAATAAATATAAATATTTTTTAGTCGAGATAAATCGTTAAAACTAATTAATAATAATAAATATGTATACGTACATATATCAGTGCAATTAAGACTTTTAAAATACAAGAACATGTGTCTTTCTGTAGCGTTTATTATCTTAATCTACGGTATCGAAAATCTAGAGAGACACGAGACTATTCCAGATATCTAAACAAGATTGAAGCACCATTTAAAAGTCCAAAAATAAAATTTTGCTTTTTAATTTTATCATTTTATAGTGCAAAAAAAGAAACATTTTTAACAGAGGCTGGTTGTGAATAAATTGTTCATATTTTATAGGTATATAAATATATAATACAACTTTTTTTGGGAAGGTTGTTATAAAGTAAGCGGGCCATGCCTCCAGTAGCTAATTTACAGAAGGTGATTAGTGTATTTTATTACCATTTCTCGGTTTTTTTTTTTTATAAAATATTACCTTTTACAAATTTGTTTATTTAATATAAATGTTGTAGTCCTAGAATTATTCTTTATTACTGATATTGTAAAAGTTTTGGACAAAATGTCACAACAAATTTAACATTTTTTGTTTAAAGCGTATCCGATAATATGATGACTAAATTTAACATATTATATTATTATATTTAATAAATAAATGTAAGGCAGTCTACAATTAAATTATCTTTTTTCATCTAACAACATGGCTTGATGAAAAGCAAAATGTTTAAAATAGACTTAAATGCATTTTGTTTGAAATTAGACTGTGTCCCTTCACTATACGTTTTTTAAGTGATTTTCTAAGAAAACTGGTTTCATATTTTCTTTTTGTTACTTGTACCTATACCTTTCCCCTGCCTCTCTTCTCAGTATACTTTCACACACTCGACTTAAAATTCTATATTTCTTATATTGACTAGTGTATCTTACGAAAATTGTATTTAAACGTAGGTAATACAATTTTTAGGTTAAAATAACAAATGGAAAATATATATTAGGTTATTTACCTATAGTTATTAAAATTTAATTAAATACATCAAAAACAGTAAATATAATATAAAAAATATATATGTTTATTTTTATTAGATACCTACTTCACTCTACTAAGAGTACCTATTGCATATATACATATATGTATATATGTAAAAACAATTTCAATAGAAAATTATAATTTTCATTCAACATATTGATAATACATAATTTTCCAACATTGCGAATAACTCTCAGCAGCGCTTTAGAATATATTCTACATGAAAGTATACAAATAATTCTTTTTATCAATCAATATTAAAAAAAATATTATTAAAGAAAAATTATATATTTTAAAAATAGTATTTAAAATATATTATACATAATTTTTTTGTACTAAGTCCCTGACTGTTTTGTTTTACAGATTTGTTTTGCTTCAACAAACCCATTCGTAGATCTTTCGGACAAAAACAATAGCATTAAGACTGGATATGAAGATTTTCAAATTACAAAGGGTTCTTTAAAGCTATACCCGGTTAGAGACTTTGATTTTATTGGTAAACATGTAGTTTGCCAAAAGTGTTGCCAAAAGTTTGCTTCTAAACTGTCGTACCGAGCTCACGTCAACACGGATATATGTACAAGGACATATAACGGGCCCAATCTTATATATTTAAATTATAAGTTCAAACACGGACGACAAAGACGCAAAAAGAATTCCAAGAGCCGATTTTTGGAAGAGTTAAACGGTCACCATTTAAAAAAGAACCTATTGAATCCAGAAATGTTGAACACCTTACAAACTCGCAACAATTGCTACTCTGATATAGTCCCAACTCGTGTAAAAGGTAAACATAAGATTACTACAACAACGAATACAACTCCGACCACGACTATGAATACAAGTGAACCACCTATGAAAAAACCAAGGGGTAGACCTAGGAAAATAGTCGAAGAAAAATTGGTCAGAAAGAGAGGGAGACCTAAAAAAATTATTCAAACGGAAAATTCTAATTCGAGTAATGTTAACGTGAACACGACTAGCATGAAAACCGAAGTATCGACTGCTGATGACGCGTACAATAATAATATTAACATGTCTAAGAAACAATTATCGAATAAATTCAAAATTGTCGCCAATAAATTTTGGTCGTTGGTTGGCAAAGAGTTAAGAATAGACAATGATATAGGCGGGCACCAATGGATCGACGGGTATTTGAACGTAAGTCAATGCGACAAAAAAGAAAAAGTGTACGTCAGTCCACCAAAAGAAAAAAACTTACTCGCCAGCATTGATCAATTGGAAAATGAAATCAATCAGCTTATAAAACAAGTAAAAAATGTAGACGAACCGGGGCTTAAAGGTAAACTGGATTTAATGCTTAAAAAAATCAATGAATCAAGAAATAATAAAAAAGAAGTGGCTGAAATAAGTAACGGATTGGTCATGAATAAAGGTAAGGAAAATATTCATCACAAACACAGGGTAAAAGAAGAAATGACTGAAACAAATAGAAATCTAGAGCTATGGAAAAATGAAAAAACAAGTGGTATAGAAACAATAACATTGAGCGACGAACCAGAATTGTTCGACCAAACAAACGGTAAAAACGATTCCAACAATTATAGTCCAGATGTTACAGTAAAACAAGAAACGGTTACAAGCAATCACGTCGTCGTGAATAGTAAGAACAATATTGTTAATATCAAATATGTTAAAAATTCTAAACTAGAGTGTAAAACTTGTTGTAAGGTGTTTGCATCAATTGCTGAATGGAAGATGCACCGTACTGAACACGTAGGAATGATTAACCAACAATTTCTATGCAAAATATGTGGTCTGAAATTTAAAATGCAAAAAAATTTCTCCAAGCATCTCATCATCCACGAAAAGATGGAACGTAAAAGTTTAAATAGTAATTCTAAACATAGCGATTCGAAAAACTTCAAGTGCAAAATGTGTAACCGACAGTTCAATTATTTGCGATCGTATTACACTCATATCAAAAATCATAACAAATAAGTTGTTATAAAAAAAAATTTATACATATATACTGAATCTGATAATATTTATCTTTTTTTTTTTTCTTGCATTTTGTATTTTTTACAATTGTAACTATAATTTGCAAGAAAATTAATTGTTAACCGCGTTCAACATTTTTTTTTTTATTATTTGTACATTAATGTAAAAAGATATTATCATTTCCATAATTTTTTAAAGACTTTAAAATTTTAATGTTGTTTACATTGAAAATTATGATTGCATCACATTTATGAATTGACCATAATTGTATATAAAACAAATATCAAGCGTTATACCAATTTCTAATGTTTACTTTTTTTTTTTCTGTTAATGATAAATTATAATCTTAAACGAACATTTTAAAATATTGTAAATAGACTTTATTTTATAATCTGTCAACAAGTAAAACTGTTAAGATATTTAAATGTAAAATATATATATTATTATTATTATTAGCGTTGATTTTTACTCAATTAACTCGTTTCACGGCTATGATTGAATTCTATTCAGTAAACCAATCTAATAATGTGTGTTGGAATGCTTATTTCAGATTGCTAGAGTATTTCCGAGAACGGATTTGGATTCAACGTGAAAAATTTATTTATTTTGGTTCATAACGTACTATGCAAGTTCACAAATATTTTAATATTCTATTACCTTTGACCATATATATCAATAAAAACATTTTTTGCAAAAAAAAAAAAAATTTGGTAAATGTTAATTGCTTATAGATAACACAAATTTCATAATTTAATTATTAATAACAACAGTGACTAATCTAAAGGCGTTAAAGGATCAATACCAACACCTTTCTGGTAAAAAAAAAAAAGGTAAACATAACACAGACGTGTTAAGTCCAAATTTGTAAATATTTAAAAAAAATTAATTTATTATTGGCTACTACAAAAACTGCGAACGACAAGTCCCCAGAACACTTAACTCGACAAAAAGTAACAAAACTCAGTAACTATTAAACATAACATAGTACAAAACATTAAAAAAATAATGAACAATCCTACTATCTTTTACTTTGTACATTTTTTTAACTAACAAAAATTAATTAATAATAATACCTACCTAATATTTATTTTTTATGATGGGCGCTGAGAAGGTATATAGTTTATACAATGATGTACCTATTTTAATTTATTTCTTCTATTTTCTATCTGGACCCACGATATCTTTCAAATCACTGAACCGATTTATTCATATAGCAGTTTTATATATCAGAAATCGCACAAGAATGATAATTAATCAAGTAAGCCAAAAATTTCAAAAGTTTTCCCTTTCCCCTTTTAAAATTCAGTAAAACGCTTAACAAATTTAAATATTATTCAACTTAAAATTAAGGCGCTTAGGTACATTTTTCTTAAAAGTCAACAGTCAAATTTTTTATTAACGAAAGTCTCAAAAAGGGAGAAAAGTTCACTTTGACCGTAGTAACTTTCCAGGTGCTGTGTATAAGTGAATAAACAGTCAATAGACATTTGATGATTTTTAAACAAATTTTATACCTAGCTCTCTAAAACAAATAATATTACAAATCCGTGTAGTGATATGCAAAAAAATGATATATGATATGAAAAATTTCCCCTTATTCTTTCATGTAAATTTTACCCTTATGACCAAACCAAAAAAGGTGAACCGTGTTTTTTCTAAAGCTATTAACAGTGTTTATCTACATTATTTGTTGTTTTCAAGTTTTGGACCAAAAGTTAAAAGTTTGCTTATCATAAAACTTATTCGATAGGTGAAAAAAGTATTAAATTTACTACTTTTATTGTAAAAATATAATATTTTACCTATTATTATAATGAAATGTTCTTTGTTTTTTTGTGACATTTCGCCCAAAACATCTACGTTAACAAGAAGAGTTTTTTAATAATTAAGAAATAGATTATTATTATAATATATTTTTAAAAATAAGGGCTCTGGGGGTAAACGGTGATATATCACCCTAATCAACCTCTGTAAATAGACCACTGCTTTCGGTGACAATCATTCCCAGAAAATAAACCTGTGACCAAATCTTTGACGCTACTGCACTTGCTTTATTTTATTTTGTTAAAATTTTACAAGTTGAAAAAACGCTTATTTTAATTTATCGACCGTATAATGTTGGGAAGTATTTTTTTTTTTTTTAGGAGTATTTTCAAATCTTGAGTATAATATGTATTAATTTGACCCAGATTGCTAGATCGTTAAAATTTCGTCCTAAATACTTGATTTGGTCAAGGCCATATCACAATTTATACATCTGGAACGTTGAAATCTTGAACACAAAAACACAACGAGCCGAGATAACGCGTCGCGTTCGGTGTAAACAACAACAACATTGTGAACTAAATACAGATAACAATGGCTATTGTTGTTTTTTGAAATAATTATTTTCTTATGATCTCGGTGTCAATGCTACATTTTATTTCTGTATTATTACTCGTTGGTCGTAGCGGTGTCGTAAAACATTACAAATTGTAAATAAAGTGCAACGAATATTTCTAATATTTAAGTATAATTTTATTTTTATTTCGCCGACCATGAACAAAATGAGAACAATTTTCATCTTGGACGCAGGAGCTCTGTTCACTTTGCAAATACTTCAGTTCTTCAGCTTGGACTTTTATATCATGATTGTTTTTAAGGAGACTTGGTATTCGAGGTATCCGAACGCTCTGTTTTTAGTGTTGAACATCGTGTTGACGATGTTGTTCTACCACACGTTTGTCAATTGTTACAAAGAGTACAAGTACGAACGCAGTAGGAAGACAGGAGACACGGTGGAGCGCAAGGCCAAGTATCCGGTGTATTTGAACTGTATCACTTGGAGTACGTACGTCACAGTTTTGTTCAGCAAGATCGTGTTGATTTTCTCCAATCAAGTCGTCTTGCTGGTCAGCTACGACGATTTCATGGGACCGCAAATGTTGAAAGTAAGTAACGGCGTTATGATTGGTTTGTTGGTTTTGTTATTTTTTACTTTGATGTTTTATAGTTGCTCATTGGATTATCCGGGATCGTGTTCTACTTGATGGTAAATGCCGAATGTTTTGGACGACAACTGAACCGTGACAAATGGCCGACAAACACGTGGATTGTCGAAATCTTTGACTCTGTTGAAATATTATCGATCGTCATATCTATCAACTATTCTCTGGGTTATGTCGAGTATTTGATCTACGCGACAGCCTTTATAAATTTCATATTGCCCGTTTGGATATTGTACAGTTTGTCGCAGCCAGACATAGATACCAAGCCGATGGGTCTACCACAACCGATATGTTATAATTTTTTGCACTTGATACTCGTTCAGATGCCGTTTCTCGGAATTCGATTGTACATGTGGGTCGTGTACAATCAAAACGCATCGGTATTCATGATGAAAAATCTTTTGCACATGCTATTCTTTTTGCACACATTGTACCCACATATCATCGAAATCAGTAAAAAAAATCAGTACAGTCCAGAAAACGGCATTGACGAACGCGAACCCGAAATACTTTTAACTAATCGTAAACAAGAAGATACCATCGAGGTTCTTTAGACATATACAATAAAATGAATACGTTAAAACCTGAACATCTTCGTTTTTTCATAGAAGGTAGGTGAACGACAAATGTTTAAATTCTTTGAATCTAATTATTTATAACAGTATTGAAAAAAGTTGTAATCAATATAAAAGCCATCTTACGCCGATTTTCTCCTTTTTTTTTTTTTATACTTTATATTTTCACAATTTAGTCATTTATTTAAAGTTAAAGTATACTTTTAGGTGAAACTATTTAGTATTTTTTATCGCTGACATTTTTTTATTTTTTTATATTTGGTGTATAAAATTAGGTTGATACTTTTTAAAAATATAAGTTGCCATGTACCTGTGTAAACAGATCTAAAATCCATATTTTTAATTTATATGTACTAACGAACAAATTTAATCCTTGGCATTTGACTACATGTTGAATATGATAATTATTTATATTATATTTTTAATAATTAATGATAAAATGTATAAATAAAATTATCAATTTTTTTTATTTTATACTAAATTTAGTTGACTTAATAAGACTGTTTTTATCTCTTTCATTAGTAATATATTAACTGTTAGTGTTAAATAAAAAAATTCTTATTTATATTTGTACGCCAGTAACTTTAATGACATATTTTATTTTGATTATGTAACGGTATATCAACTTTTAAGAAGTATAATAATAACTAAATTGTAAAATATGTATAATTAATGTTACTTTCATAATAATAATAATAATATTTTGTTTGCCAAAAAAAAAAGGAAATTGTTTATAATTTCTTTATTTTTGTATACAATTTTTTTTTTTTAGTAATAATTTTTAGATCAGATTTTTTACTTGGGTATTTTTGTTAATTCTGTTACTAGCTAAAATTAGTTATGTCGACTTATAAAAGAATCTCATTTTATTTTAGGCGCAACCCTTTTTGTGTAAACTAGTATTATAATTTATAATTATTATTATTTGTTAATTTCGATATTTTCGTAAGCTCTTTAAGGAGTATTTGTAGTCTTTCATTAATAATAAGTATGTCTACTGACTATTTGATAATGGCAAACAGTTTCAATTTTTTAGTTGTGTTCAAAAACAAAATAAATGTATTATCTATTTAATTGTTTTTGTGAAATCTCAGATTAAAAAAATAATTTTTTTATTACAAAAATATTATTTGATTTTTTTTTCCATTATACACTTAACAGTTGCTTGGTAACTGACTTTGTTTGTTGTACATTTCAATGATATAATATATTGTTTGATAATTTTATCTTTTAAAAAGTTTTTATTTTATTTTCATACAAACGTTTTGTTAAACTTTCGGCAGTGGACTACTCTAATTATAATAATAATCATTATTTATTATTATAAATAGAATACAAAATTATTTTTATTTTGTAGAGTATTGTGGTTGACTTTTGTGGCTGTCTATTAAATAATTGCGATGTCAATAGTCACGTTAGAGAAACCCGTGCCAAAAGTAGCCGGATCTGATTGGTACTACAGAGTGTCCGAATTAAAAGAATCGTGTGACAACCGAAGACGTGATGCGTTCCAGTTACAAAACGAATCGCACAAACTGAGAAACAACGCTGATATAACTACTTTTTGGGGTACCCATCACACAAATTCGTCGATCGTAGATAGGTTTGTTTATTACACATACTTATTATTAAACTGGTTGGCCGATATAGTTTCTGTATTTAACTTTAATATTTAATTTGTAGACAAACCGAGTTAAAACAATGGAAGTATCTGATCGAAAAGTATTACGCAGATTTGGTAAAAGAAATCAAAGATATGAAAAACGAGAAACTGCAAACTGAACAAACTCTCGAGTTTCTTAACTTGAACTTTACCGTTACCAACCACTGTTTGAGCATACGAGACGAAAGAGGTGGTGCCGATCTATGCTACGACATAGCCGACATTGAGTTGAAAAATGTATGTATAAAAGTTCGATACAATAATTATAAATTATTCAATTAATAAACAGTATGTGTACATACACAGGAACAACATACGTTGGAAACGTTGAAAAAGATGTTGACTGAAAAATGTCAAATTGCGTGGGAGCAGATAAACAAATTGGAAGAGTTGCGCATCAACGTTGCTGAAGACCTTGCTAACAAAACGAAAGCAATAGAAATGGACACCGCTTTGTTGAACATGACCAAAGATTCTAATAATATCTCACTCAAACCGGATCCACTCAGGGTCCCAAAAGAGTGAGTAATACACACCGAGTATACTCTGCATATTATAAAATGTTTGCTTTAGGGTCGGATTTACCTAATTGTTGTCTATAGACTATAAGAAATAAATATTATTATTTTCTATGATAGGAAATAATCTTTCAAATTGTAGAGTAAAAATCACATTGAAATAAATAAAACTACATTTTAATAATTATATTTTGCAGTATAAAATGTCGTACAAAATGTATCATAAATAATTTTAAAAAAGAATATCTATTTTTGATATTTCACTTTTTCTTGATTTATTTGCAGCAATCATCTAGGTCTGTATTGGCTCCCCAAAATTTATAAAATTTAGAAATTTTGTCACCTTTCTGTCTGCAATCAAATTGCTTAAATGATTATTTCCATTAAAAAAATACCAAAGGACCTTTCACTGCTTGCATTCGATAGAATATTATATATTTTATTGTGTCTAATCTAAGTTAAATGTTGCAATTATTATATTTTCTTAAATAAGGCTAGCGAAGTAGAAATATTAATCGGTTCTAAAATATTAAAAAATATTAATTAAAAGAAATATTAAATACATCATATTGTACTCTTTTTATCATTCAACAGAATATTGCATGTATTGTGTTAAGTTTTAAAATATTTTAATCATACAGACACTCATCTAGTAAGTGGACCTAGTATTGAAATTATATTTTTTCTAGTGGATAGTGGCTATTTAAAATTAAAATAGTAGATAATAATCAGATCATAAAAAAGATCCCGTGTTCATGGGGTATGCCTGATTGGTTGCTGACATTGTTTTAGAGCATGAACGAATTAGAAGGATTTGAGTTTCTCTAGCCCCTCCCCCTTCCCTAGTTACGCCAATGGAGGAAATTCTAAATTTTAAAATACACTTATTTTCGATTTTTATGTCTGGTCACTTGTATCAGATTGTAATTTCCTTTTGATTGTTTTTAGTTACAATACGTACGAAATGTGGCTTCGAAAATGTAACAACTTAAAGACAAGAATCGAAAATGAACTGAACGGTTCGAAAAAAATTCGGGAAACTATGTATGTGCCCCGTGAAAAAACCAAAAACGATTTGAAAGCGCAAAACGACAATACAAACTTTGCACTCCGCAGACGAATTTACGAAACGGAGAGAATTAAAGATGAACTGGAATGGCAAAAATCGAATGTAACATATTTCTTAGTTAAATGATTATACGTATTAGACCTACCCAACAAAAAATTTGTTTATCCGAAAAATCTTTAATTTATGGTTAAAAAAAGAAAATGTCAAAGTTTAAACTTTGATCGGATAATTTTTAGTGGTGACTCAAGGCTATTTTGTGCAGTTGATATCAAATATGCATGTTTTTCATACTACATCTTATTCAGTTTGAAAGCTACAATATTGGCAGTGAGCTCATTAGAAAGATAATGAAAAATCCTTCAATAATTCATATGATTATATGAAGAACATACTTGATATCATCACTCAAAAGTTCTTTTTAGAATAAAAAATACTGTTTTTGTTGTATAAGTTAATAAAAAATTCGGGCAATAAACCAATAATTAATAAAATATTTTTTTTTTGTCATCTTTTCAACGACTTACTCTAAATATTGTACCTTCAAAATTGAAAAAAATATAGTGAATATAAAAAAATGTATCATCTTTACACGTTTAAATCAAATGGAAAAAATAACTTTGAGTCACCTCTAAATATTATCCAATCAAGTTTAAATTTTTACATAGTCTTTTACTTAAAACTAAATATTTTTCGTGTAAACACAAAAAATAATTTCTTTTTTTATAAAGTTGTAAACCACATATGACGAACCATCCATTTTTTATGTGGTAGATTTCACCTGTATGCCATAATCCTAATATTTTGAAAAATATTCCATAAATACAAATGTGTTTATTTGGGTTACCTATAAAAAGATAATTTTCAAATTTCTATCTGACAGCCTCGCAATGGAGTATTTATACAAAAAACCTGGCCAAAAATATTTTAGGCAGTTTAAATGCATTTAAAAAAAAAATCGATCAGCCATAACCCAGTAGAGGCTAAAAGATTCATATATTTATAGAGATAATTGGAATTGGACTGACTATAGTCTCAGAAAATTGTCACATCGAAAGCATTTTTTTACAACCAAATTAGCTTCACCAAACTAATTGAAAAATTTGTTTAAGCTAAAAATAATACCTTGAAGCTTACACAAATTGAACCAAAAGTAAATTTACAAGGTCAAAATACTTGTTTTCTTAAATATTGCCTATATAAAACTCCTTGAATTCATCCACTTTAAATCCTCTTAAAAATGTATATTATTGAAAAATATTAATAAAATTTTCTCCCTTTTTTCTTTTCTTCGTAAAATTTTAATGAAATCAACTTAAGAAATTTTGTTACGAAGTCAAAATCATTAATTTTTTTACCGAAAACTTAATGTCTGGTATAAAGCATATTATGTTTTTGTATAACAATATATTAAACCCTCTAATGGATTACACGTGGACTACTCTATTTGACTTACTCTTCGTTTTTTATAATATTTAAATTAAAAAATTATTCGCAATAGATGCAAGTGGACAAAGAAAAATTTTTAAAAGAAATCGAAAATTTGGAAATTGCTCTAGACAACAAATTGAATTCAAAAAAGTTGGCAGATACTCGATGTGAAGAAAAACTGTATCGAGCCGGCGCAGAACGTTGTCTGGACAGACCTACGCTTCAATTGCATAAAGAAATTGCTCAGCTGAACGCTACTACTCAAACGCTGGCTGAAAAACTCGATCAGTCAAAGTAAGCATACAACCCCCTAAAAAAAATTTCTCTCATTTTTATAAGTTTTCTTATGATACATCTGTACAATATATAAATCAAAATTATACATAAATCATAATAAATGTATAGATATTTAGTTAAAAATCAAAAATAATAAATAAACAAAAAGTACATTGTATTGGAGTATATTGGGGTGGGGGAGGTCACAGGTCTAAACGATTTATTTCCACTGAAATTGATAAAATCATTTTTAAATAAATGCTTCTATGCGAATCTGTAATGATAGAAATACAAATATCGATAAAATCATTGTACCTAATGACAATTATGTGCTTAAAAATGTTTTTTTTAGTATTAGTATTAGTATTAGTTGATAGTGTGTCCATAATAATTTATTGCTGTGGTTACCCATATATTGTAAAAATATATACCCACATTTTTACCCATATATGGGTAAAAAAGTATTTTTCTCTTTTTTTGAGGGGTTTTCCTTAATAAAAAAAAAAGTTTGACTACAGATTTTCTGTCAGAACTTAAACCCTAAAACTTTACCTATAAAAGTGAAACAAAGGAGTTTCCTTAGAAATTTGGAACTAACTGGGCATGTGTTATCATAATTTCAAGTTGAAAAATATGTACATTTTTTGGGCGTTTTCTCAATTTTGAATAGGAAGGAGTGAACTTTTTAAGTTATCATGGATCTAAACACATCATTGTAAAAACAATACCTTCTCAACTGCGCAAAAACTTAGACATTTTTCTTTCTCCATTCGGAAGTAGCAAAATCATGTTTCATTATTTTTGTCAAGTCCCATAAGGTTGTTATTTTAGCTTCAATTAATAATAGAACTAACAACTGCGGTCTTGTGCCATTGTAGACGGTAAATAGTTTTTATTTTTTAAAAGCAATGCTCTGCGCTTAAATTTGTGACGTTGTAGATAAAAAATATATAAAGTACCATTAAGATACGGATGAAAAGTGGTAAAATATGTGTCATTTATTAATTGCAACGTTTCCATAGTTTTAGGTGTAAGTCCAATGTTTATATGGCTCTGAACAAAAATTATACACTTATTCATTGATAACAAATAGTTTACCTAAATTTCTCCTGCGAACACAACATGTTATTTTAATTTAAATGTTTTTGTTATATTTTCATAGGTCTATGTACAATATTCTTACCGAACAAGTGACTTTGATCGACGAAGAACTCAAAAACAAGACTCACGCGCTCGGTGTAGACGAAAAATGTTTGCAGTATAGATCACAATTAAACGACAATTATTGACTACCTGTTTTATGAAAATCTTTGTAGCTCGTTCACTATACATAGTAATATTTAAGTATATCTATAGTGTTGTTTTCTCAGTCTATATGAAATAACAATATTATTTTAAAACGAATTTAAAGCAAAAAAAAAAATTAATTTTACCCGATTTTTACTATATAGGCAACATTATGTACTCGTTCAAATTTGCCTAGTTGGCGCCGTAACATTTAAAAAAATGCTTTTCTTGATAATTTATATTATGTTACTGTAAAATCAGTAAACCCACTCTTCCAATATTATGTATTGTAACGTGCATAAAAACAAGACCATTAGTTAATTAAATAAATTAAAAGGACAGACCTAACGAATGTACCAATGAAAAATAATATTTTAAAAGTATTATATTATCTTGAAGACAGTAAGATAAATATTCATAAATTTGTGATGGAAAAAGTTTCATCAGAATATTATTATTAGGTCGGTAATACCGATGTAAGTTTAATATCGATTTTTTGCAAGTTCTCGTCAAATCTCTAAAGGTAAAATATTACACAGATGATCTTATACAATATTCGTCTTCCAACATTTGACTGTTAAAGGTGTGTTTAAAAAATAAAACTTCAACCCTTAAGAAAGAGAAATCCCACCTAGTATAAGAATCGAATTACGGTAGTTCTTTTTACATGTTAAAAAGGTATAATATTAGATATGCATGCTTAGTAAACACACATTCGAAGGCTTTGTAGGAAATGATATTATAAATAAATAATAATATTGACTTCGGAAAAATTTAAGAAGTTGGGGTTTATACAAATTAAATCGCATAAAATTAGTTTTGAGAACACCTGTTTAACCTTGAAACAGGTTTTATTGTTAGGATTTTTCCCAGCTATATGCATTATATAATAAAATATTGTTATGTTTTATTTTAATTTTAAATCGACTTGTAAACATAACATTTATTTGATTTGCTCCACATATCCTTAGACGCTTAAAATTTAAAAAAATCTGTAGACATTTTGGTCCACCATTAGATTTGGGAGTTTTGTCAAATAATAAATACACAATGAAAGATATTCATAAGTATTAAAAAAAGAAAATATCATTGTAAAATCAATAACATCTCTGCTCCGTATCGAAGATAAAAGGATGAATAAGTTAGAAAAAAAAATATTGAACTAATATTAAATATTAACAGTTATTTCTTTTTGCTGAAATAAAAATTAGTAGATTTGCAGACCAGTGAAAACTTATATTGGTGTACATTAGGTTTAGAATCTCCAATATAATATATCTATGACTATGGCTTGTTGCTTGGGTTGAAAAAAGTAAGAACCCATATAAATTTTTGGCGAAAATGAGACAAGACTAATAAAATAGTACTCAAATCCGGATTTTTGAAGTACCTGGATGTCCAGATACTTAAGTCTGAATTGACTGGCTATCCGGATTTTGGGTTTTATTTTATTTTTTAGTTAAAAAATCTACTGTTACAAAGTGTGTAAACCTACTTTTATAACGATTATTAAAACCAATAATTTTGTTATTTAATTTAGTTAAAAAATTCCAATCTGAAAATCTGATAATCTGGATATTACCAAATTCCAACACTGGTGTAAATTAAACCACTTATTGACTTATATAATAAAAATTGATTTAATTATACATTTATTTTTCTTATAGGTCTTATAATGATAAAGTTAATATAAAATATAAACTTTAAGATTTTCTCGGTTTATCGAGACAAGACTGTATTTTATATTATATAAATATTTTTTATACTTAATATTTCTCAAATGCATACTGTACATAAAATGTGAAGTCTTTTGCACATTTTAAATTTCCTACTGCACAGTATGGACACCTTAAAATAAAGCCTGCGTCTGTCTTGTAGTAAATTCAAATAATATTTCAATCTCTTATTCGACAAAGGGAATAGGCAAAGAATAAGTCACCATTTTTACGAAAATGATTTTATAAACTATAAAAACTAATAAAAATCACTTTTTTATTTATTTTTTTGTTGTACATTTTTGTTACGTTAACACGCTTTTAATTTATGCTCCACCTTGTTTTTCATTATTTATTTAGGAAAGTAAATAAATAAGTCCTTTAGTAGCGAGTGCCTAAAAAATACACAAAACAAGTATCTATAAATTCTGAACAAAATAGCAAAATATGTTTTTAATGCAAAAAGAAGTTTTCAAATTTATCAGATTTATTTTTAACGTTTGGGTATTTAGCAAAAAACGATTCTTTGTGTTGTCTCGAAGTTGTAAGTACCCTAATAAAAAATTAATTAAAATATTTGAATTATAGTTTTCTATGTTGTATAAACAATACAAAGTTATAATATTAGCTAGTGTAATATGCATTGTCTAAGGTCGTATAATTAAGGCAAGTTGTTCCTTATTGTATATTTAATAATAATAAAAGTTATTTTTTATGACTGAAATTATAATTAATTTAATGTGTGACTTTGATAGTCAAAAACAATGTGGAATAAACAACTACAATAACAGTAGTTGTAAAAAAAATAACAATATTACATTACTTATTATAATAATTTTATGAGAAGGGGCCCCCAATGATATTTTGCCTTATGGTTCAAGTTGTTTAAATCAGGCCCTGTGTGACATATTCTGATGTTGTAAAATTCGAAAGATCAAAGACTTTAAGCGTAGACAATTTCATAATAAATAGTAACTTCAAGGTGTCGTTTTTATTTAGTACGTGGATACTTTTAAGTTTTATTAGTTTTACGGCCGACAAAACCGTTATGTAATCATTATACAATATTAATATGGTTTTAGCGAGGTTTACAATAATATAATCTGTGTTTTTATCAATATCGGAAAGGTCAAAGACTAGATAGTTTATTATTAGAACGTCTAATATTACTAATGTTGGTTGTCTAAAATATAAAAAGTTAGACGAAACCAAAAGGCTAGCTACGGTACAATAATTACCAAAAATATTATGTGTATTATTATAATTCATATAATATATTTTTCTTTAAAATTTTGTTGTCACGTCGAATTTAAAATATTATTATTATTGAGTATTTTTAATAATAGTTCGTGTTATACAATGAACATATGATTCCGGACGGGAGAAAATGAAATATTTTTTTTTATTATGAAAACAATAAATTGTCCAAAGCTAAAGACGTTGTGTACATAATCACAATGTAAATATTGTCGGCGTTGTTTACAATCAGTATTCAGTGTTGCCATAAAACAAAACCGAAAAATAGTAAACAATTGGCTAGACATTTTTTTTAGAAAACATTACATTGTATTTTACAGAAATTAAATACAAAAACTATATCAAGTTAAATTTAGTATTCTGTTTGAGTGAAAATTTTGATGCGATGACTAGTTTCAGATAAATATTTTCATTAGAAACAATTTACAAAACTATATCAATTGATACCGTGTCAAATTCTACCAGAATCCTTCGATAGTATTAGCTATTTGTTTTGTAATCCGTCTTCCTTGACGCTATAATATAATATATTACTTTAAATACGATATTAAATTTTACATGAAAGAATACAATTACTTGTAGCAACTGATTCGGTTCGGGAAATACACAGAACGTAAAATACTAAAATGTACAATAATCACGTCTTAGTACCTATATATTATGATGTCGCGAATTTTTACAATAATTATATTTTATTAGTATTTTAAAATGTTTACCCACGGTATAGATTAAATTTATTGAAATTAGTCTATTCCGTGGCAACACTGTAAGAATTTACCTCCACCGTATCACTCCACTGGCATTTTCTAAACAGCTACAGTCTACAGAGGCATGGGCACATTCCGTATTCAGCTTGGCGTCCCCTCACTTTGGTCGCTTCTTTTCGGCCCCCGCTTGTCATCTTCCGAGTGAATAATAGCTGCACCTGTCCGGCATTATTATTATCGGATTTTGGATGGATTCGTATTAAGGTAAGTCCTGTTGTTTTACGTTAATTATATTCTACTCGAAACACGGCCGTATACACCGGCGGGCTGTGCGTCATAGTGGACGTGTCTTTTGGGCCCGAACGATTTGTCGGAAATAATGTTTTTTTTTTATTCGCGTTAAGTGTGACGATTGCAATATTGTGATCGACACAAATCCGACGGACTGACTTAAAAAAAAAAAAAAGTACTGCTCGAGTATAATCTCACACATACACTCGTTTTCCAGTCAACTCGAGGGTTACTTGTCGTTGTAACTCGTTCGGTGGCCCCGACGCTAGTCAAGGGTCGTTGAGTTACGCGTGCCAGACTCGCTGCACCATCATACATAGACGAATCGATCAAACGGTTGTATACAGTCTATAATATTAAAACTATTTGTGAGTATTAAAAATAAACTACAATAAGTACGTAACCGTGCTCGTGTGTGTGTGATGAAAACTTTGATATCGTAGTTTTATCACCGTAAGTACCGTCAAATTATATGGATGAGATAATAGTTTAATTTTGTTTGTTGTTGCAAAATATCATTTAAAGAAGTCATTGAGGAAATTAATATTGTACTAAAAATCAAATCTTCTACAGTTTCACATAATGCTCGTTATGATTTTAACAAAAACAATACAGTTTAATACAAACATAAGCGACCGTTGTGTTGGATTTTAAAATGTGTCCGTTAAGTATTGTTTTAGAAGGATAGTTTTTTTTTTAAATTTCAGTTGACGAAATGTAGCGATAAATCATGGGTTTTATAATCTTTTTATACATAAATGTAATTGTTATGTATTGGAACTTAGCTAAAGTGTTTTTTAAAGTAAATTTCATCTATAAATTATACACCGCTATTGTATTTATATTGTTTCATTCGTCTCGAGGATACTACAGATTATATATGACTATAGAATTGACTAGTTTGACACAGACGATCTTAAGTTGAAATCATGGGCCTAGCGTCCAAAGCTTTCTTAGTCTTGAAACCCACACCCTTATCCCAAAAATCGTTTACTTTCCATATAAGTTATTATGATACAAAATTGTCTGTTTATTTATTGACTCTTCATTTGTTTTTGATTTATAATTAATTTTACTACTAAATAATTGAGTAATATGATTTCTTTCTATTTTTAGTAAAGTCATGTTTTATTGGTATTGTTTTATTCTGATTATTTTGTATTTCATAGGGGAAAAAAACAGAGACAATGAAAGAGCGTTACAGAAAACAACAATTTTTGAAAAATCTTGGATTGCGTACAAATAAAAACAGTAACTCGAGGTATGCTTTTAAAAGCGGTTAACGTTGATTTAAATAGAAATAATCAGTGTTTTTTTTTCTTTTGACTATGTTGCCTTAGCGGCTATGATGATCAAGACGAAACAACCCCGACTGTAAGATAGCAAAAAATAAAAAATAAATGACTTTAATGGTTTTAAAATAAATTTTACTTTTTAGATTAATGAAAGCGAATGCTTTTATTATTTTGATGACAATTTACAAGTAATATGCCGCGGATGTTTCAACAATTTTTCATCATGGTTAGAGTATCGAAAGCATTTCACTCCCAATTGCTGCTACACGACCAGAAGCGAATACAAAATGAATACATACAACGACGTGTACAAAATTTATAAATTAAAGAAAGCCAAATCCAAGAAAAGAATTAACAACCGTTTGAGCGTTGCTCACCTCATGGATTATGAAACGTTGAACACTCGTAAAACACGTAAAAGGTAAAATCGTTAATTAGATATTTTGGATTTGTGCAATAATAGTTGTCTAGGTAGTAGATTATATACCCATTGTCTAAGCATGTTGGCCGACAACATCTAATTTATTTTTTGGTTTAAAAATAAATTTTATAATAATTCCAAGACCAGTTCCTAATTCAGCAAAGGAAACTTTCCAAAAAATTGCAATTTAATTTTTTTATTTATACATTTTCAGGTGTTATGCGAATACCAGAGTTGTTTCGAACAAGATGGGGAAACCGGTGTTTGCGGACAGTCACACCACCGCCGAAGAAGAATTGATGAAGGAAAAATTTCTTGATAGTACGGTAGCCAACAATAATGGCAATTCGTCAAATCCTGTGAAAAGTGTGTCGGGTTATAAAACGGAAACAAGCTCTGACAACAACAACCTCAACAATCGCCACCTGTGCCATCGAGCACAAGACATTCCAAAAAGTACAAAAAATAATAGTGTTCCTAATTCGTTGAAAATCTGGTCGGCCGTACAACCTGTAAAAACGGAATCAAACGTTTTCGTAAAGGCGCAAACCACCGGGTCCACGTCGAAATCGGCACCATGCAACTCGAAAAATCGTCCCGCTCAAAGTAATAGTTTTCATCAGCGACACGTTTGTGTGGCTTGCGACAAAGAGTTCCTATCAAAAACTTCGCTTGCCACGCATCAAGTGCGACACGTCCAAGCCGATCGCAATTTATTTAGTATTTTTATGGCTGGCTTGCCCCATTTACAGCGGGCAGAGTCTTCTTGAACGGAGGCGGCAACGACGATGGCAACAATATTATTTCGGTATTCTATTATTACATGTATTGAATCTAGTCCTCCACATTGTGAAAGTATAATCTTATAACTTTTTCTTTTATGATTTAGATAATTTTTTAAAATAACTTGATTTTTAACTTAAAAAAAAAATTCCATTTAATGATATTTAAACATAATAATTTTAAGTAAAAATTCCAATGTAGAATCAACGATTGTTTTAAATGTCTTTATTGTATATATATTGTTCCTTAATTGTTTAAAGAAAATCACATTAGTTTTATTTCCATTGAACAAATTATAATTGACACAAGAGGAAATTCTCAGCAGTCTGTATAATTTTTTTCTATTTTATCTTGTTCCTCGATTATTAACAGTGTGTGTTAAACGATTGTATATTTTGTTTGTATTGTACGAGTCCTACATGTGTATACTTAAGATTCCGACAGATAATTTTTGTAAGACGTTTCTGCGGGAAAATTATTGTTTGACTATCAAACTATAAACAATCTTAATTTTGTTATTTGGTAATAACCAATTTTTCAATAAAAAAAAAAAAAATGTAAATATAATATTGAACCTATTATGGCGAAATTATGTGTTTTTAATTAATATGTTGCTTCAATGTCTTCACAAATATAATAATTAAGAGTTATTATTTTTTTAAGGAATTTAATTTTTTTTAACTTTTGAAGTAGATTATAATTGTTTGTGACTTTCTTTTTTTTATTACTTTTGTATAAAACCCAAATGGTTTTTTTTTGTTATTTTAATTATTTTATTTGAAACAATGTACTTTATAATATATTATATACATTTTTTTTTTTTGACAAACATGACATACCTACTTGTTTTTTTAAAAATATTAAATGTGTACATATTATTTTTTTTTTTTTACCATTAGTATTTTGGATAACAAAAAATACATTTATTTAATTTAATCAATTTTAATTATTAAAAAAAAAAATTACAATAAATTAAAATTAGTCTACCGACCAAAGTTCGTCCATATGATTCGACAGCGGTACGGCGTAGGAGACAGGTTTTTCGAACGTTAATGTAGCTTTTTGAATTTCACTTTTGTACTCTTCGGAAATCATCTGTAAAAATTGTATGAAAATATTTTTAGTTATCTTCGTCGACTTTTGTCAACTAAATAGCAATTGTATAAAAATAAAAATATATGTATATAATTTCATTTAATGGGTATTAAATAAATAAAATATGTTACGTTTCTTATTATGTTTTCCCCCATTAAAAAAACAAAAAGTAAATACACTAAACGGCAGCGTTAATGATTACTTTAGCTATTCATATAAAAATAGATAGTATCAATAATGGATCAGTCGTCGTGATTTCCGCCTAAAACCAAGCCTTGAATTGATTGAAAATTTTCCACTTATTTTTTATTCTACGACCATCTTAAATATTTCGAAATTGAGTGAGACATTTTTAAAGAAGTGGACACTCAAAACAAATGTTTTCATCATAGTTCAAAAGTGAGATAAATATAATAAGTGCTTTTTTTTGTTGAAAATTTGTATTTTCAAAAAAAGCAACTCTTGCTTAAAAGTATCACCTAACTTCACCTTATTTCAAAAAATTAGGGGCCTCATTTTAGTCTTAAGCGATCCAAAAAGTCTGAATCTGGTCATTAGAGTCCAGAATCTATGCAAAATCCCACTCTGTAGTATACATATCTTTTAATTTTTTAAAACAATTTCAATTATTTATTCAACTTAACAAACTTTATAGTGTAATAATATCTTCGAGTATAGATAAAACATTTCAATGTGTCAGGTGAAATTATTTTCAATTTGCCTGAGAACTGTTTTAAAATAAACCCATTAGCACATAGCGTTTACATATATTATATGGCAACAGCAAAATTTAAGTACACAATTTTTTTTTTTTGAATTCAAAAAATAATAAGAAACAAGCACTCAACACACTAATTAATAACAAAATAAAATCTGGCGTTAATGGGTTAATGATTTAGTAATTTCTGGATTTTATTTAAAAATTATAAATTTAAAGATAATTTATATTATAATATTTAAGATTTTAAAGATTTATGATATTAAGTTATTTCAAAATTTAAACAAAAAGAAGTTTAAATGAGTAATAGAAATTAAAATGTTTTCTTAATTTTTTGGTTACGATTCCATAACTTTCTATCTTAAGTGCGAGGCCCTGGACTTGCGACCTGCTTGCCCTCCTCCCCTTAACCCTATAGCTGGCACTGAAAATAAGTGTGTGTCTAATAAAGGGTTGTCAAAAAAGCATGCCGGGTGGTCTATCCGTGTACGTTTAAATAAGTTATATGGATTATAAATTTGTAAAATAACTAATGTTTTCAACGTCAAAGTTTGGCACATAATATCATAATTCAATCGAGATTCGAATAGATACAGATTGATCAATTTGTTTTTTCCACTTACACTTTCGTACGAGTCGTCCAAAAGCTCACTCATATCCCATTCGGTTTGTGGTAACTTTTTGAACAGAAATGTTACAGATTTTGACACTTTGGGTAAAACATGCTGTTTCAGGGACACCAATTCCCATAACGAGCTGCTTAATGCGTTCGATTTGGTTGGATCCTTTTCTTCAAATACATAAGGGTCTGATGAAACTAAATAAAAACAAACATATCAGCTGTGATATAATAATATGTACAAAAAACAAATTTACCTATAGAATTATCTTGAAACATGACCTTTAACGACGGATGTCTTATAAGTAAATTGCCGATAAACACGGCCATAATTTTTATATCAGTTGGCGGAGCAACCAACGAAAGTCTTGACATGCGTTTAACGAACGCAGCGACCAATAGCTCAGGCAAATGCCTAGAAATTTTTTTACAATACACTAATGTTTAGTATCTAACATAAATATAAATATTAAAAATCACTAAGTCTCGCGTCGAGATATTTTTTATACTAACGTAGATCGGAGAAAAATATCGGCTAAATAAAACAACCTCGTTTTATAACGATAATGAAATATGTCCGTGGTGAAGAAGTTGTAAAGTTTGCCGTAAATATTGGGACATTCCCTGTGAAAATATTACTTATACATAAATAGTACAGCAAAAATAATCCAAAGTTTGAAGATTACGCCTACGACACAATTTACATAATATGCATCGTTGCATGAAACGAAAAAAAATAAAATTCAAAGAACATAAAAATCAAATTACTTACAAGTTATAATCTTTCACCAAAATGAAAATACCTTGAAGTCCTAAAACAGCTACCGGTCCGGCTAAAATAATCATTACACACCTGGTTACAATGGTGTTCAGTAGAGAATGAATTGAAAAAAAAAACATTTTGAAATTGAACATATTTAAACTTACGAGTATCCATTGCCGACATGAGAAAATCCACAGTCAAAACGGGCGCACTCAAATTGACCAGCATTTTTTCTATTAAAATGGTTAACATTTCTCTTTTGATTTTAACGCTCGAAATCGTCAACGGTCTCATTTCGTCCCAAACCGTTGTCACCCATCGTTTGATGTCGTCAACGTTGTACCTAAAAATTGATCTTCCTAAAAGCAAATAATAATAACAACATTTTTACAACGTCTTCCCCTAAGCGATACTGTCATAGATAAGCTCCCTTGTTAAGGGGCAGTAAATGGCTTTAAAACCAGCTTTAGGGCTTTAGAAAATTAACATTTATTTTTCATCAACTTACTAGGATTTTGAAACAATAAATTTTGTTTTTTTTCCCGAGAGCCAGGAATCGGGACCAACCCCAATATATTTATAAACATGAAAACGTCGGTTTTGTCGGTGTCCAATTCTTTAACGATTGATGCAAAACATTCCCACGAATAATAACAAAAATCCAAATATTCCAGGTAATCCGACAGGATTTTCTGCAACTGCGACCATTGAACATTAGTGCAAGTCAACACACGCATATAAATTTCCTAGAAAAGTTTTACACAAAACATATATTATTGTTTTATTTACATATGACAAACATTCGGATATAAAATATTGAATACATCCATATTCATACTTTTAGTCGCTTCGATGGAAAATAGTATTTTTTTTTCACTATTTCTTCGGTCGGTGTTTTTACTTCTTTGTCGAATTGTTCGAATAACAGTTTTAATTCGGATACGGTCATTGTGTATTATATAATAAAATCAAATATAAATTGTTGAATTTCAATATAAACTAGAAGTGAAAATTAAAAAAAAATATATCACAATAGCCAATAATCAATATTATTTTTGTTATCAGAGTGTGAACCGTGAGGTTGTCTGGTGTTATGAAATAACAATTTAGATTTTAGACATAACCAACAAATTTGTCACGTGCCAATGTTTGTCTATGACCATAGATAATAATTAATACATGGATAATATGACGCTTCCATTTGAGGCCTGATAAGAAAATGAGGCTTTCGCGAAATTGAAGCTGTTTTTTTTATAAAATAAAATGATTCAATGATAAACTTACCACATTTTCGTTCGCCATTCTTTCCTTTAATTCTACTGTGGTCTCGTCCGCAACACATTGAATTACTAAGCAAAACATTAGAAAATATAAAAAAAGATAATATGTATTTTACATTCATTCTTTCTTTTTTATTATTTTCAAATGCTTATTTATATTGGAATGAAATAACACCTAAATGTTTTAAACGCTATAAATCATCTAGGTTTATAGTGAACTTTCCAATACTAACCTGCTAATTCAAAATATATTTTACCGTAAAATATGTTTTTTACAGTTTTAGGTGATTTTTTTTTATAAAATGCTTCTGTCGTAGTTTTGTATATTATATATATATTATAAATCATTAACAAAATCTTAATATATAATGAAATATGGCAAATTTGCAATTTTTACGACAAATAAACTTAACAATTAAATACAGGTGTAATTTAAAATAGACATGTAACCATATGTGTTATTAAGTACACATGTATTTTTAAGCACACGTGTACAAATATGTGTAATACGATTACACAGACACTATATTTTGTTACCACCCACAGCTTTATGTCGAAGTGTTTATTTAAAATTGTATACTAAATCACTTTCGGTTATAATAATTATACCACTAGATTTTGATAAATATTTTTTTCCTTGTTTTATTTGTCTTGACCCATATTATGCATTATTAGTCCCCAAACCGATTTCTTCGTGTATCTAGTATATAGACCAGAAACCAGGTGTACTTTAATATACGGCCAATAATAAATCGATTTACCCTTTCTCCTTGAAAATTGAGAAAAACGCTCCAAAAACGTACTAACCCCGTCTACTATCGTAAAATACACCGTCTGGTATCATTTAATCTGTATTATTTTTTTCATAGGATATTTCGTATAATATTATATAATTATATTTATTATTTATAATAATTATAATACAATAAACGCGTCATGATATAAGTAGTTCCAGAAAGTAGTGGTCTTAATTTTTTTTTTTTTAATTTGATAATAAAATATTGATTCCCGAATAGGGGACCCTGCTTGATTAAATAGATTTTTGCAAAAAAATGCTCGTGCTTACAGTCTACACACAGTAATTAAAACACAATATAATCGTTAAACGTTTTCTTTTAAAAATATATAATTTGGCATTGAAAACGCTAATTTTTAATATATGTTAATAATTTTTATTTTGTTTACAAAACGACTTAAGTATTAAAGAAAAGCCGCCAACTAAAGCTGTCGGGAACAAACAGATATTACGATAAATTATTATCATTATTATTCACAGGTTAGTCTTAGAAAATTCACTAACTTCATAAAGCCAGCCATTGTACAGCGTTTAACATATTTTATGTTTAAGTTGATTCCAAATTTGAATACGTGTTTTTATATATTAAAAAATAAACAATGGATGCAAAATACATATGCATATTATTCGTGTGTTTTTTAATGCATTATTTAGTAATTATTCAAAGTGTTGCAGACGAGACACCAGGAGAACGCATGGAAAGAATCCAGAATGAGCTTGCGGTAGTATATCTTTTATTTAGTTTATTATTTTTTAATATTTAAATAATTATTATTTATTACTTTCTTTCTTTATAAATTAAAATTTTTAATTTTAAATCTAGTTTTTTTTTTTAACAAAAAATAGTAAATATTAATTTGACATGACTGTTCATATACAAAATTATACGAACGACGTTTTGTGGTTTATGTTTTTTTTTTCGTGTAAGTGAACAAAAGTATATTATCCCAGAAGATTTAAGGCGAATATTTTCAATGTATTTAACAAATCTTTTTGATAACTAAAGCGCTTAAATTGACATACCCATATTATAACAAAATAATATCTTTAAATGGCACGTTTTTTAACTTTTCAGGCTATACGAGAAACTTACGAACTAACATTAGCTCATTTCAATCTTAGATTTGGAAGTAAACTTACCAAGGAACAAGTAGTGTTTGTTTTAAGGAACTGTAATAGAAAAACTATACTCGAGTATTTCCGTGAAAAAAATTATGCGCCAAACAACCGAAGTAATACTAATTGAGTTACATTCAACATAATTTAATGGTTTTCTTAAGTTTCGACCGAAGTTATGGGGCAGTTGGTTTTAGGTTTACTCACTCGCATTGACTAAAATCTCTTAACATTATAAGTTGTAATGTTAAGACATTTTTATATGTTTTCTTAAAACACTGTACTAGTATTAGTTTTAGTTAAAATGTCTCAAAAATAGACCGATTAATAATGGACTTGAGGGAGCTTATAGTATAACGCTTTTGACCAAAGTATAGTGGATAGTGTTTTTATTTTTCAGAACACCATGAACAGGCAACAGTTAATATGTATTATTAATTTTATGTTTCAGACAATATCAATGCAGATCTACTCGGAGACATTGTGAGAAAAATTTGCGAAAAGAATGGGACGCAAGTATTAGACTTTTTGGGAACAATAAATAAATCAATGCGTGTTGTTGTAATTGGCTGTTATTAGCTTATTTAATAGTATATAACCTTATTTTAATATAGTAAAATGTATTTGTAATACTAACGCAGTGCTATTCTGTTCAATCATCCATTAATTTGTGTATACAATTTTCAAATAAAATGTAATAGGAGATCTAAATTATTCTACTGTTTGTGTAATTATATAATACAAGCTGTCCCGACCCGGCGTTGTCCGGGATTTAGTTTGCCAGGGCTGAGTAAAATAATTGCTAATAAGATAAAATAAAAGTCAGTACTCCAGGCTGGACCTACATATGTACATTACATTATATCGATTATGTCCCCCTCTTACTCAAGGGTCCCAGTCCCGGTCCCATTCCCAGATCCAGTTCCTATGTTTACTAGCGTCTCCAGAATCGGCCTGTTCCTTTAAACATCACCTACCATTCGCTCGAGTACCGTGGTTACCATGGTTACAAACCAAGTGTTTATTTTGGGTTAGGAACGAAAAATATTTTGTATTTAAAGTACAAAATTCGTGTTTGAGGACATCCTTAGGGGTGGAATTTTCCAAATGTACTATACCAAAAGAAACCTTCGCGGGAGTGTACTCAACAACATCCCAAAGTTTCATAATAAGCAGATGAAATTAATCGAAATACAACCATAATAATTATTTAGTAAGAAAATGTACCACACACGTTTCTTAAGTACCGTTTCGTGGTTTAAAAAGGGCCATGGAACTTATTTCAAAAAGGTTTACTACAATTTTTTTTATAAAAATAGCATGTATTGGTTTAATATTTTCTTTTCTCTGTACTTATAACATAAGCAATTTTAACATAAAATGGCAGTAATACGTTTTAAAGAATAGATATGGCAATGACACGTTCACTTTAAATGATTCTTCTTACTTAACACGTGTTGAACTGATATAATTAAAAGGATATAAATTAAAATGTAATATGACCGACCGCATTGTAACCGAAAAGGATAAAACCAATAAAAAAAACATTTCCATGAAAGCTATGGATGGTATATAGCTAAACATATCAATCATACTGTAGACAATAAATGGTGTTTTTAACTTAATAATTTTTCCTCAACAAAAAAGTGTCACTACAGAATAATAAAATAAATAGTAACTCATGTCTTCTATTAACTCAGTAGGTTCTGTATAAACTATTAAATATTTTGACTGTTAGAAAAATGTATAATATGTCGAATATCGGCTTAATAGAGTGGTTTTTAAGGGCTAAAAATGTGTGATGATTGAATTAAAAATAGCCAAAACCGTTATTATATTATTATTTTTTCAGACTCTTGTTGAAAGTTGATTCACTCTATACCAATTTGGAAAGTCAAAGTGTAATTTCCTCCTTTATTTTTGATTTTCCTTAATAAAAAAAAAGTTTGACTACAGATTTTTGAGAACAATTTTAGCATCACTCTAGATCTACTCTATAATCTAATTTTTTAACTTCTATTCCGTTTATTACGCTAACGTTTCCAACTCATTGTAATGGCCATCTTCGGAGCGACAGTCACCGTTCCGCTGTCGTGATTGCACTGTCTGGCTCGCTTGTTGCCTACCGTTAGCCAAAACCAAACAGACCAAAAATTCACCAACAGTAAAATAATTTGCATTTATATTGTGTTTTGTTATTAATTTGTTTAATATACAAACTGATGATTAATAAGAATAGTATTGCGCTAGCAAAACAAGTAAACTGTACTACATTTAAATAAGCTTTTATTCTGTTAAATATGCTAATAATCGCCCAATATATAACGCATTGAAATATTAACTCTTTCCAAAAAGTCTAATACTTTCGTCCCATTTATTTCGCAAATTTTTCTCACAATGGCACCGAATTGATCTTGATTTATTCTACCTAAAACAAAAAAAATATGTATGATATTTATAAATACTTGGAGTATAAATAGCAGTTGCATAGTTGACCAAAATAATTTAAAAAAAAGAGACGAATACAACAACAATACTACTAGCTTTATTTTCCTCAGTTAAGTAACTTTAAAAAGTCAAATTATAATCTACAAAATGTATTTAATAAAGCCTACAACCAAGGTTTACTAAATTTAAAATTACTGTTGTTTTTTTTATTCGTTTCATTTTAGAAACAATATCTTAAATCGTTACACGCGTCTACTAGATATGGAACTGAAATTAATATAATATTAAATTAGCCTTCAACTGGCACCATAACAAAGAAAACTTTAGATACAAATTAAGTATTTAATTTAAAAACTGTAACGGAATTGAAAGTTGATTCCCCTCATGAACAATTGTTTCAAGAAAAGCGCATGGCATTTTCTTGAAACTTAAGATATTATTTTAAGAAACGGTGTTTCTATATTCAATATTTTAACAAGAGTGATTTTTATAATATTACTTTTAGCATTTATTACTTTTTGCATTTTTTGTACCACAATGGTGTAAAATTTTTTCAACAAAGATTTATCACATAATAGGAAAAAAAATTAAAATATATGTTTTATTTTTTATAAATGGGAGAGAGGAAACCACCTAAAACTATTATTATATGACAAATGTTGTATATTTCAATTTTACTTCGGTTATTGGCAGGAATATTATTCTCTTTGAGGTATTGTTTGATGTTTTTTTCATTACACTCTCCCAAAACATACAACACATGAACCAAAGTAAGTTTACTTCCAATATCAGCACGGAAATGAGCTAATGTTAGCATGTATAATTGTCGTACAGCCTGTAAAGTTATAAAGAGTATCTTTAAAAACAGTTTTGGTTAGTATTAATATCTTGAGAATTGCGTGATTTTAAACGCTATGTTTGTCAACAAGGTTTAGTAGAATAAATTGAACTTGTTGGTCATAAATCTTCTGAGATTATAGTACACATTTTTGTCCACCCTATACGAATCACTTGTATTATTTATACAACAAATATATAGACACAAAAGAAAGCCGTTTTTATAATCATGGGAAGTTATATCAAAATATTATTTATATTTTTAATTAACAAAATACACCAATCAATAATTTATTTGTATACTTGCAGAAATATTTCTCAACCATTACCAACTGACCTAAATGAATTTACCATTAATTTAAAAATCGTACTACCATAAATTATTGAAATGCATAAATATTGGGATAATATTCAAACATAAAAAATGTAGTACAGAATGATAAAAAAACATACTATCTGGCTTTTAGATATAAAAATAAGAAAAATGTAATAATTATTTAATTTATTAAAAAAAAAACAAATTCAAAGTTGTTAATCTTACTTTATTTTCGTTCGCGATTCTTTCCTTTATTTCTGCTATGGTCTCGTCCGCAATACATTGAATTACTAAGTAAAACATTAGAAAATATAAAAAAGATAATATGTATTTTGCATTCATTGTTTCTTCTTTATTATATTCGAATGATTTTCTATATTGGAATGAAATAGCACTTAAATGTTTTAAACGCCATACAACTGCTAGTTTTATAGTGAACTTTTCAATATTAACCTGCTAATAAATAATATATATTACCCAAAAAAAATGTTTTTTAAAGTATTAGGTGCTTTTTTTTATATAATGCTTCTGTCGTAGTTTTGTAAACCTAATATAAACCATTAAAAATATCTTATAATGAAATATGGCGAATATCCAATTTTTATGGCAAACAAACTTAACAATTTATTAAGTACAGGTGTAATTAAAAATAGACGTGTAACCACATACGTTATTAGAAGCACACGTGTACAAATATGTTGTGTAATACAATTACACAGACACTATTTGTTACCACCCACAGCTTTATGTCGATGTGTATGACATGTGTGTAAATATTTTTTTCCTTGTTTTGTTTGTCTGGACCATATTGTGCATTATTAGTCCCCGAATCGATTTGTTCGTGTATCTAATACGGCCAATAATAAATCGATTTACCCTTCATCATTGTAAATTGAGAAAAACGCTCCGAAAATGTACTAACGATCCAACGAAATTCCAGTTCAAATTCTCAAAATCATTAATCCTGTCTTCGAAACATAGCTTCTGGATCCGTTGCTCTCCCACTCTTCTTATACTTTTTAACTTTAAAATTCCTTGTCGGCGTAGACAATTCAAACCTCAATTCTTTATACCTCTTTCTTATAGTAACTCTTCTCTACTACCAACCATCTACAAAATGAACCCATCAACTGTATGACGGAACTAGCCGACGAGGACCTTCTCAAGGAGTACATTAAATGCTTATTGTAATTAAGTCTTTTTAATACTAATTCTACTAAACAAGTTGTCAAATGTTTTAGTTATTACATGGGTGAAAGCCCGTCACGTTATAATAGATAAATAATTAAGACAAATAAGAATACCTCTGTCGTCATTTTGTATGCATAATATAATCATTAAGAAAATCTAACTACAGTAAAATACGGCCGTGTCTTATGACAAATCATTTTAACAATTAAACGTCTCCTAAAATTGTAAAAAACGTATTTTACCATAGAAAATTCACTATAAAACCGCTGAGCAGCCTTTAAAACATTTAAGTTCTATTTAATCTAATTTGAAAAAGCACTTGAAAATATTAAAGAAGAAAGTATGAATGTAAAATACATGTTTTTTATGTTTTCTAATGTATTACTTAATAATTAATCGTATTGCGGCTGAGATCATAAATAAAACAGCTGAAAGAATCGCTATAGAAAATTTAGTAAGATTATCATTGAATTAATTTTTAGTTAATAAAATTATTATTTTCATTTTTGGGTTTTTTATAACTAAAACCAGGTGGAATGTTTTCTAGTAATTGCGTACTAAACTTTTCAAGTTTCTAACTTATTTCAATAATAACTTCAATAACTTATGGCAGTACAATTTTTTAAAGTCATCTGATAATAAACCGAACAAGGTATTTTTATTGTAAAAGAGTAACTTTTACTTGATTTTTTTTTTTATAGATTTAGTAATATACATATTATTTTGTACAAATTTATAAATTATAATAGTTTATAATTTAGACTATGTGTGGATTTCAGCAATATGTTTAGCGAAATCTAAATGTCGAGACCAATAATGGTACCAGGATAGACGACAGGAAGGCGAGTAAGTTAATGTGGTTGCCTATTCGATGAAAATTCAGGGACACTAATATTAGATTAGTCATTTGGTTTGTTGTGTACAATGGTCGGAAATGAGCTTACAGGTTTTAATAACACACATTATTTTACAATAACATTTTTTTTTTATTAAATTTTATATTTTACCAACATTATTCATTTGTCACTTTGTACATTTTCCAGACTAAGGTATTCCCATTTACTTATTTGTGTGTCTAGTTATTAAAAAAGTCCAATATTTTTTTTCTATAACACAAATTTACGTTTGCATACATAACGAAATGTCATAACATTTTCTCTACGACCTGACTGTTGACTCGTTTGTGTGTATTTGAAATGAACAATTTTTTTTTTCAAATAAAAACAACGGTGTACCCGAGAAAAAAAATTGTTCCCCGTAAAATCTTTTTACAATTTATTTGAACGATGAATGTTTTTCTCGAAAATTTTGATATTTAAACTTGTTTTTGCAAAATAAAAATAAAAATACTTAAATTCAATTTTTAATATTTTTTAGGGACGAAAAATACATATTTATAGGATAAACCTAATAGCCGACCTTCCTTTTTGATACACTCTGTCAACTCTTTATAATATGCGATAGCTACATTCCGAACACAATAAAACAAATATTAATTTTATGTACCTACCTATACACAATTGTAAAAACAATAATATTATCGGCAGAGTTACACACAAAGGTGTCGTTGCGATAACCTCAAAGCTGCTAATTTGTTTGTGAAATGTGAGATTACAATGTTATTCTAGATAGATACACACAAAGACGGTGCAAATATTCGTTTCGTATCACACGTATATTTTATCAAGAAATTTGATTTCCGTACTGCTATTTTATGTGATACAAATTATAGTTAAGCAGTAAAAAAATAAATGAAATGTATCCAACTAACTAGAAATAATAACTATATACATGGTCCAGGTAAGTACATGTCAAAAAAAATATATATTTATTTATACATGCATGTATTTACATATATTACATTTACAAGGAACTCTTTTCGACCACAGTCCAGCGAGACTTGTGTGTCGGTTTTGAAACATGATTATTTTTCATTGTTTTACCATTTAGATAGCACCAAATAAAGACAATCGGTCGCGTGGGTAGTGACTTAAGTATAACAAAAAAATCCATATATTAAGTAGGATTGAGAGCGGTCAGTTTTTAGATAATAAAAAAAGGCTTACTTTTTAGCGCATTTTATGTCGGAAACAGATTTTGTTGTGTAAAAAAATTGCGTTTTAATGTGGAAAACCTTTTTAATTTATATAATTAAAAAAAAAAACTTGATTTTTATCTTCGATGCGATAAATGAAAATCGGTTTCCAACATAACCCAGCAAGGACACAGAATAAATGAAACAATAAATTTATTAATCAAAAAATTAAATTAAACGTTTCATTTAATCTGTGGTAATGATGCCAGCAAATTCATATAGTTTTATACAAAATCGAAATTGGACCTGCCAGATTCACACAATTTTGTGACAGTGAGAGCATTTTTTTTACCACCAAAATGGCTTTTACACATGTAAGAAATAACTGTACATGTGTATGTTAAAAATGATATCTTGATGATATCCAAATAAAGCTAAGAAGCTAAGAAGGGTTTTAAGAAAAACCCGGCTGCCACTTTCAATCCCCTGAAATATTATCGAAATACCGCATTCGAATGGAAAGTCGCGTTGGATTGCCTAAGTAGCTCATTTTTGAAATTGACAAAATATGGAAAACGGAATATGCCGGTTCCGGTCAACGGAAGTAGTCGGTGGAACTGATGTTGGGCACGTTTTGCCATATTTTCCGGTCGTGGTGAATCATGGCCACGACCGGTTCCAACGAATCTTCGAAGTGGTTCCGAACCGGCGATAATCCGCTGCAACCGTCGACCACGTCGTATTGGAACCCGGAGTCGCCCGACCATCTCTTGTGGGTAGGAAGCGCCGCAGATATTTCCAACGAATCCGGCGTCATGTGTAAAGTCCTGTTTGTTCACCGAAAAAAAAAAACAAAAAATTCGTGAGATTTCGAGCCAAAGATAGAAATTTGCATAAAAGCACTATAACGTTTTCAGGCTTTGTTATAAATATAATACATAAATCGAGTACCTAGACATAAGTATGGTAAACAAATCGAAATTATTGGATTATTTCATTATCAATGTTATACTATAATTTAATATCAGCATTTAGAATTTAGCGTGACACTAAAGATAACTCTCAAACATTCTACACATTTTCTCAGTAGACCCTCGGTCTAAGATAAATATTATCGTGTTAAAAAGCATGTTCATATTTTCTAAACGTCATGTGGGACACGTTTGGTTATATGGTGCATAAATCCCGAACAAAACGACTCACTCGTACAACAAACTGGGCTCCAACGAATCCATGTGGATATCCGTGTTGTCCGCATATCTGGTGCACTTGCTCGGCTGTTGCACGGGAGATGCTATACTCATCCGCCGGAAATGTTCGATGAGTTCACCGTGAAAAATGGGCACGTCGTATATCACTTCTTCGGCGTTCTGAAACATCAAAAACAAATGATTATACCTTGGGAATCTGCGTACAGGACGATTTATTAAGTCAGGACAATACAGTAAATCACTCTTAAAATAATAATTGTCATCTTGTATTTGTTCTTATTGAGGGACACTCTAGTAAACTGTCGAAATAAAATCCAACTTGGCGTTTTTGAACACTAAAATTCGCTTAAATTTGTACATAAGAAAAATAACACCGGCTTGTCTTATCATTCGGCCCTCTAGAGCCGGGCAGGACCACTGAACTCAATTTATAGAACGCGTATTGCCTATAGTCGTTCCATAAATTGGTTCCCCAAATAACTGCCTCCCAGTTCGGGACATTTTTCTATCTGAATACGCGTTCCATATAACCTGAGTTCAGTGGTTAGAATTCAAGTACAACAAGTTACAACTTACAATACGACATTTTTAACGATATGAAGTACACCCACCTGTTTGTAAACGTGCAAACCGTCGGCCATTAGACGTTTTTCGACTTGCACGTTCTGGTCGTCGATTCGTGTGAATTTTTTTTTTATCGGCAACGGAGGTGGTCGTCCGTCGTCTTCCGTTCCGGCGGTGGTTGGTTCGTTTGATGATTTCAACCGGAAATCCGATTCGGAAGAATCTGTCTCGAGGCTCATGTGTATGTCGGGCTTTTCCATTACTATTTTTCTAATGGGTAGTTCTTCCGGTTCGGAAGTGCCGCCGGAGTCGCAGACTTCGGTTGGCCCGAGGTCGGGATGAGAACCGTGAAATTCTTCAGTCTCTTCTACGCGTGTAATACCTAAATGAAAAATAAAATGGTCCACTAAATGGCAGATCTTATGGTTTTTTTTTTGGAATTGGTATTTAAACATTATAATTTGTTTTTTTCTTGAAATAATAGATTTGTGGCCTGTGGGTTAACTTCTCTCGCTCTATACACCTCAATTATTATAGATTTAGAGTAAAGGAGTATAATATATTGATAACAGTTAAAAATTGACTAGTTCTTGCTGTACACTTGTTGCACAATATACACCACTATAATATTTACATTTTGAAGAAAACAAAAATCTCTATTTTAAAGTGTTACAAAAAATTTGACAAAACATGTATAATCAGCAAGTCTGGTGACAACGATGCAATGGCATAGTGTGTGAATAGGAAGGCTCTCAGCAGTGCCACCTGACCAGAAAATCGAAATACTTACAATTTTGTATTATACCGCTAAACAATTTATAAGGAAAGTTATATTTTTCAGTTTTTGCTTCGATATTTTTTTTATTATGTATAAAAAACTGAACTTTAAACATTTTCTCTTGTAATACATATTTGTTTCATGTTACTATAAATATATGTAGTTGTGTTGTTTGACTAAATAAATTATTCGAAATGAGACTGGTTGAACCTCGGAGCAATAACAAGGTGAACACGACCTATCGGTTCTCATTGAGTAATATTCTGCAAGTCTGTCCCTAATGACGTCATTTGTTCTCCGTAAACGACGTCATATTCGTAACATGCATTCCAGGTTTTAATTATTATAATAATATATACATTAGGTATACAAAAGTCATTAGAATTTCCCGGCAACAGTTAATCGCAACGGGTAATACACAAAATTGATAATTATAATTTTAAAATTGAATAACTCATATTCTAATGGTTTCGCGGATTTGTAGTTTATTCATAGATGATCAGCCAACTATAATGTAATGGTAGGTTTGTAAATTGTGTGTGTGTTTGTGTAATGTGTCTAACGACTCGAGTGAGCAGGCGATGTCAAGAGGTCAAACTAAAACTCGAAGAATGTCCTGGTAAGGAAAATAAATAGGAGAAGACCCCTTTCTAAGGGTGAAGATTTTGTGACACAAAAATGGGGAAAGTGACGAGTGTGAATGAGGTAATGATTAGATGACGCTGAAGGGTAACTGATAAGATTTGTTTGATAGGAGACAGAAAATAAACTGGTCGTAAGACGTGTTTTGTGAACCAATGTCTTTGGTTCAATGGAAAGATTAAAGAATTTTGTTTCATCCTAGCAATTACCTGAACTATGAACGGTCATTAGTCGCACACAACTTTATTAGTTTCTTAAACCGTACACTTGAACTAGTCACATTATGCTATAGGTACAATAAAAGTTTATGGAACTAATAGAGTTTTGTGCTATCGTGCAAAATGTTTGTAAGGGTTATACAGTAAGTACGGAAGTAATAAATATATGGCCGTTAAGCCTAAATAGGTCACCCTAGACGGTATGGGGTGGACACAGTCAAAGATGATCGTTTAAGTCAAAAGTGCACTCGGGGAATGAAAATAGAAGGTAGAGTGGTTAGAGGCAGAGATATTTAATCCAACTTAAAGCTCTAGAAGAAGAGAGTTCGACTTACCTGCATTGTACTTGTGCTTGATGCCGTACACCTCAATGTAGTCGTAATCGTCCGAGTCGGAGTCTTCGTGGTCGTGTTTCTGGGTAAACGGAATGGACCTACTCATTCTCTTGGAAACGGCATCCGTGCGTTTCTTTACCGACCGGATAATGTTTTCCGGCGTGGCGGATAACTCTTGACAACTGCGCGACTTAGCTGCAACCGTCACCGGCAACACCGAGTCTGCACAATGGTCTTGGGGCTTAAAATATATGCTTTCGTAGGACAAACTTCTCGACCGACACGACTCTTTGTCACTGCCTCCACCGGCCACTTCGACCGTCATCCCCCGGGGCTCTCTGTAGAAGCTGACCCGGTTATCCGACTCGGCCTTCCTCAGGACCCGCCTCGAACCAGCCGCACGAAGCCCGTTCTTGTTGCTCAGCTCAAAGTAAATATCATCGAATGACTCTTTCAGCGTTCTGCCGTACTTGGCTTGGTTAATCGCCATGCCGTTGGATTCCACCGACAATCGACACTGTCTTTCCACCACCGACACCCTGTTCCTGGGCCGCACGCACGATTGGTTACAGCTATTCCTGGCGTCCTGTAGCATCGTCAACCACGCTTCTTGGTTACTTTTAGATTTAGTTCTCTGAAAAATAAAACGCGATTCGTCATTGCAGTGTGACCTATCAGCTGGACGAGGGCCTGTTGAAAGTTCGCGTGACGCTTTTGGAACTGAAATGGGAAGGGGATGGTGATGAGGGAAAATCGATTATTCCCTGATAAGAGAATCGACTGATCATAAATCATGCTCATGGTCCAAAGTCTTTGTTCAAGAAAAAGATGAACAATTTTAATTTTTCCACTACACGGAAAACATAGAATCGTAGATGTGTTTTTTTCTCCTCTCCTCTCCCCTCCCATAATTTTCCTTTTCCTTCACTTTCATTTTTCGGTGTCGCGATAACGCTTATTTTAGATTAACCATCAGTCGCTAAAGACAGCCATTATCAGCTGTCTCACTTTTCTTTTTTTTCAACTTCCCTCTCTTCTGCTTCCCTCACTTACACTTTTTTATTTTCCCTTTCCTCATTTTACTAGACGTCTAACCTTACTTGACCTAATCTAACCTTCCCGTGTCGCGATCATACTAATTATAGTTAACCCCAGTCCAAAAATATGTCCACGTTACAAGTGATGTGTAAAAGTTGATACTAAGAGATAGGCGGTGACTTTAACCTTTTTAAATTAGGGTATTTGCCATCGTGTTGTTCCCTATACTTTGCTGCAATAAGTCACGATGATGTTATACGTTTCAATTAAGCGTATTACCCACTTATTCAGGTGACTGCGACGAGTGCAGCATATAGGCAGAAGGTAAACCGGCGCAATGGTTATGAGGGTACAAATATATGAAAATCTTTGGTAATCTAAAGTTAGTAATTTTCAATAATCTCTGATTTTCTTTAGAAATCTCTTGTAATCTGTTGTATGCAATAATTGGACATCATTAGGTGTTATGGCTGGGGTCGGTTGAAAATTTGAGTGATGCTTTTATGACACTTTGGGAAAGAAAAGGGCGGACTATTGATTGGTGGGATGAGGTGAAGAATGGTCTGGTGACGAGGGAAAATTGTTAATTCCTGAATAGCTGATAAAATATGATTAATATGAGACAGAAAATCAGCTGATCGTAAGACATGTTCACGTTACAATGCCTTTCCTTCAAGAGAAAAATTGAATACTTTTTTTATCCCAGCAACTACCTTAGCACAAAACCGTATATTTGAACTAGTTACAATGCTATACAATAAAAGTTTATGAAACCAATAGTTTTGTGCGATCTAGTAATATATTGTAATAAAAAAATTAAAACGAGGACATCGCCTAAATATTTAAATAAGCCCAAGCAAGAATATTTGTTTCTAGACTTTTTATTATGATTGGTATAAACTTAAACAAGAATTCTGATAATGTTGAATATAATAATAATAATATATATAATTTTTATTAATGACATGGTTTAACAACTTATATTCTGGCCACTTGAGATCTTTTAATTTATTTTTATGAATAAAACTAATTGGGATTTACTGTAAAATATTAACATATAATGAAATAATTATACTGAAATTCCGATCAATATTTACTGCTGTCCCAATTAGATAATTACCGATGGAATAAACGCGTTCGACAATTTTATGTTGACATATTTTATAGTGAAATACAAAACGGAATTAAATAATTCAAATTAACATTAGTAATAAAAATAAGATGTACCGTTCCACAGGTTATAAAATTAATAATAGTTTTATAGCAAAATATAGATTCTTTTTTTTTTTAAATTATAATTAGTAAATACTAAACAAAACGATTTATTTTTAATTATTTTTACTTATTTTGTACAACACAGTTTTGGAACGAGAACCAAAACATACAACTAATTTTTGGAATGCTATTTCACTGGATCTGAAAATAGCCTCAACTTTTCTCTAGGAAATCTAGTTTGAATAATTTTCCAAAATTATGACTGTTATAATTCAGAAGTAATCTCAAAATTAGTTTTAGTTATTAATGTTGGAGTTTTTAGGGTTTTAAAGAGATTTCCTATTGTTGTTTTGTATAAATTAGAGAAATTCCGAGAGGAGATTTTGATTGGGTGAAACATTTTTTTTTTTTAATTAGATGTAATTGGGTTATTGTTCAAAAAACAACTTCTGCTTTTGTTGTTAATTCAAACAAATTGAGTTGTACAATATGTATGTTATTGAAAACATTTTATTATGGTTATTTTTATTTAAAACATTTTTTTTTGTTTTGGTCAATATTTTGACCAAGTAAAAAATTGGTACTCACAAATACGATAATTTGAGATCTAGTGACGATTTGTATCTGACACGGGCCGCGTGGGGTGATGGATAGGACTAGGCCCATGTTGACCGAACCTCTGCAAGGCGACAAATGATGCGAATATTCCAGCTGAGTTTTGAAGTACAACAAGAGTTTTCCCTCGAGTACACACCATCTTTTTTTCCAACGACGAACGCCGACTACTCGCTAAAAAAAAATAATAATTAAAACGTCAAAAAATAAAGCACGTGTACTTTATTAAAAATAAATTATTCGTAATTTAACGATGAGAGGGGTAGGGGGTTAAAAAAAATTCTGTGTGAGAACTAATTAAAAGTAATTAAATAATTAATAATTAGTATTTAAATAATTAAATAATTATAAAAAAAAAAAATTATAATAACGGTGTGACCTACCATTCTACCCTTTTTTTCTAAATAACCGGCCATTTTAATTATCAGTTGTTTGTCCGGCTTCTTATCGATGTCGAGCACCATAGTGTTGGTATTATCTGAAACCACCACAATAAAAAAAACCATAATAGTATAATAATGCAAATAAAAACTGTATTTGAAATAAAATTAATTAAATAAGTCGTTGCGGTTATATTGAACGTTATTTTTATTTACCGGTAAATAATTTAGCAAAAACAAACATGACGAAATCAAAACGGCGGCCATGTACACTGTAAGACCTTCGGTCAACAACTAAAGTGAATAAGTCATAATATTATTACAGACTGTGTCTATAAATTTTTATTAGAGATCAGAAACCGCCCGACTATGCGTGTAAGGTTCAGCGTGTGACGTGTCGCTGTGGCGTCAAATGAAACTGTGCGACCTTCCGGTTAGGTATGGCGAAAATATAAAGGACCGAATCCCTCCAAATAGGTCAGACCGGATTCAAACCTAAAATTGGCGCCTCTTTGAGCAACCGCACCCATGTTATACTTCAAAATAATATTGTTATACCATTAGACCGGGTTTAAAAAACACGGTTTTGGTAGATTTTCAAAATGGGCCGCAAAAAGAATAAAAATATAAGTCGACTTGAAGGAGATTGAAAGCGGTCCTTACATCTGGACGTTTAAGACCAAAGTTGTACTAGTTGTGTGGTTGCTTTATACTAGGTTATATCGGAAACTATTTATTTTTGTCTTTTTAGATGTAATGTAATTGCGTTTATGTTATGAAAAAGTCATGAAAAAGTATTCACGTGTAGTTTATTATAATTAAAAAAAGAAAACTGAATTTTTGTAAATAAAAATAGAGTTTCACATGACCCAGTAAAGAGGTGAAAAAATTCTTATCTTTTTATAGAACTGAAATTGGACCAGCCAATGTCACACAGCATAATTACTCCTTCCCATTTAACATTTTCGGGGGGGGGGGATTGCTAATTAATTTTTGAGAAATGTATTAAATTTATTCGAATTTATTCGGAATAATATTAAAGCTTCGAAAATACTGAATTATGATTTTTTTGGGGGAAAAATGCAAAAAAACTTTAACTGTTTTATTGAACCTCCTCTGCGCTCTTAGTTCGAATGGGTTTTTTTGTTACCGATTTTTGTTAGGTCTGATCTTAGTAGAACTTTTCCTTAACTGTAAAAAACTATTGTTATACTGTCTGCGTTAACTGAATTGGCAAAATTAAGTGCTTTGAGAAACGTTCAAATTAAAATTTTGTGGCGAAATTATGAGTGGACTTTTTTTTTTGTTCATATGCAGTCGGTTAAAATACTTAGACCTCTGAAAATTTGTACAAACCATTTCTAAAAGAACAGGTCTAATATACCATAGTGTATTCGTCGTTCTGTTTCCAGTGTAATGGAATCCAAACAAGCCTAAACGATTTTTTAATTGAACGATTTCCGGTTTTAATTGCGTACAACAATTACGCATTTATTTCTAATCATTAGATAAGTAATAACATACTATCGTTTTGTACGATAACCATTATTTTGTTGCCCATTTTTACCAATGACGTTGAATATATATATATATTTATGAGTTATGACCATCCAATAGGAAACGTTAATTTAAAAGCTTCCCTGTCGTTTTTATTGATGCACATGTCCGCGCCCAACAAACTCTACCGAACGCTTTACAATTGTCTATAATTGTTTAAAAACAACAGGAACTGAGTTTATATTATCGTTTTGTATAAATCGTCAAGCAGCCAAAATCTCACATAATCTAGTACAGAGATGCAAAATTATTTTTAAAAAAATGTTAATTAAAAACATATTATTCCTCCTTATTTTCAGAACTAGAATATTAATCATAGTATTATTAAAAATAAAAAACAAATATATTAGTAATATTTAGTAATTATAATGGAAACATACTTGGTTTCCCGCCAAAATATGATTACATTTTTTTTTTTACGATAAATTTTAAAGTATTACAACAATTGTTGTAAAATTTTATAATTTAGAAGTATATTTTTGCATCGTCAGTTATGTATCGTTACAGATAAAATACAAATTACCAAATGTTTTACTAATATTATTGAAAACGTTTAATGTTTTCCTATAAAAATTATGACAACGGCAAAAATTAGTTTAAAGTAATTTTTTGATATTTTAAAAATGTGTTTTATTAATAGGTTTAGGACCTACCTAACTAGAAAAACATAATTAAAAATACAGTTTGAATGAGTTGAAGCTTTCACGGGTTGAAAAAACACGTGGATGGTTTTCGGATATAACCGTATCCATTGACACGGATATATCCGAAAATCATCCACGTGATCAAAATTCGGTTTTAATGTGTTGGTTAAAACGTAAGAAAAAATAGTAACTTTTAAGTCTCAAAGAAAAATCTGTTTTTTTGTATCCTTGTTACCTTGCTAAAGATTAGCCAAAATATTTAATTAATATCATACGAACTTTGTGAAAATCATTTTTATCACATTATCAGTGTATCTGAAGAATATAAATATATTTTTTTTCTTGTGCGGAAGTCGACTTATTATGTTAAGCCTTTTTAACCGTTTTAAGTGTACCCATCTGATTGCAAACGAACACTAGGATATTTCTGTAATGATTTTTTTCGAATTTCACTCATCAAATCATATTATAACGTTATAATGCAATGCACATGATATGCATGCATCGTTTGTGCTATCCGTTTTCCTTTTTTTGTCTTCAATTAATTACGGTCTGTTTACCACACGCTCACACATGAACCCGCGCAATGTACAGGGTGGTTCGTTTAACGCAGGACACTCAATTTTTATGAAAACGATTTCAAATTAGTAGTTTTTTTAATTTTTAAAGACATTTCAGCTTAGGTTATTTTACAGTATTACGCGGTATTCGAATTTCTTTTTATTTTAGTAGAGTTCTTTCAATCAACTTTTAAAATTTAAACGTTAGCGTTTGTATTTTATTACATTTTTAACCTAAAAATGATTTGCTGAACATTTTTACTGGTCCATAACCAGTTTTGTGTAATTCATTTTAAAGTAGTTATTCATAGTCAGTCAAAATTTTCACAAAGTTATTCTCAATATAGAACAACATTAATAAAATATAAACGTTACTTTTTTTTTTAAAGTCATCAGAGCTCTGGAAAAATCTCTAAACACATTTAAATATCTAGTAATTTTATGATATTAAAAAATAACACAAACAAACGCTTTTTTCAAAAAGAAAGTAACTACAAAATCTCAATTATTTCAAGAGATGTTTGGTGTAATTACGTTTAATGGCTCACCCTGTATACGGCATATGTTTTATTATTCTAATAATAATAAAAATAACGTTATAGCCAATTCCTCATCTCGAGCAGCGCATAATATAATATACTACACGGCGATTAGCGTTAGTAATAGAGTCAGTCAATATAACGTTAGTTTTTTGTTTTTTACATGTCTTCACCCAAAAAATGGAGAAAGGAATTACTGTGATGATATGACTAGATTTTTGGAACCACTGTTTTCAGCAGACAAAATTAGGGGTAAACGGCCCTCCCGGGTAGAACTCTGTATTATTTTTAAACTTAAAGTCTCGTTTTACCACCAGCACCGAACTACGTGTCATCGCTGAATTTCGTACAGTTTATATTAATAACTAAATAATATGTTTTTTTATTAACTGGTGAACAAATCTTTAGGTTTACCGACGTGCTGTGCGATCAAAACAACAATTTCTAACAGTCGGATTATAAAAAAATAAAAAAATGTCATGACAATTTTGAATAAATAAAAAAATATTTATTGTTCGAGTTATAAAAATAGGTGCAACACTCAATACTATCCTAACCTAACCCATCTTTATTATTTTTTTTTTTTGTCAAACCCGGTGAGGGGCTTGAAACTTAACGTAACCTAATTATATTATTTTAATTACTGACAGCGCAAGATATTTCAATTAGAAGGGGGGGGGACTAATTTAAAACTTCATTAAAAGAGCACATATTTATTTGAACAAATACCTAATTTTAGAGTTGTATCCGTTTAAAACTATAGGCTGGATTGTTTTCCATGTTGTTTTAAAAATAATTCTAAAACGTTTTATTGAATTCCCGGATTTTGAAATCATTACATTCCTCGGGCTCTTGTTGTAAAATTTCGATTGAAAATCTATGTTGCCAGGGTTTTTGGTTTTGAAAAAATATTTTCCTAACCACTTTCTCCGTAAGAACACAGTGTAATGCAAAAAAAAAATCATGCTTTATTGCGTAAAAATTGCACACATAATATAAATAGCTGTAACGTCGAGACGATTAACCGTTTTGTACACATAACTTTTGCAACTAATACACGTTTAAGTATAATTACTTACATTATGCTATCGAATGCCGCATACCTACGCAATAATCTAGACCTAACGACAATTATGATTGTTGATTAAGTACAAAAACATTTAAACGATTAACCGTGTTCAACAGGTTGGCGTCACGCGGTGACAGAACTCGCTCGATATGTGTGACTTTATCTTGTATGGGAATATTACTATTACCACCGGTAACCGGAGTAAGTACATAAGTTACACGTTAAGCTGCTACCCATGTATTTGTCGAGTACATGTGAAAAAAACAAAATACTTTCTAAACAAACTGACCGGTCTGGTCGAAACGGGAGATAAAGAAACTTTGCCCGATCGCCGATCCCGTGTCCATATTTATACTTGAAAAGGTACCTGACCCGCAAACGGCTTTAACCAATATTAAATCCGAGTACGTAACGTCACCGTCGGTTCTCTATTATTATTACTCGTTAATTACTATTAAGGAAGAACGCGATACTTTTAACAGTAGGCCTACTGCAGGGTGATTCATTAAGGACAAGACGCTAGTTTTCTCTTGCAATAATTGCAATGTCGTAGCTTTTATTTTTAGAGACACTTTAGTTTTTATTATTTTACACTATTATACAATATTATTCTAATTTGTTCTGTTTGCGATTCATAAGGCCTTCGGAAAGCCAAACATAACTGGAGTAAGTCAAGCTGGCTGGGCCACGTACTAAAGTCTAACACGATCACAATAGAAGTCCTGATTGGAAACCACAAGCGAAGGGTTTACATTTATCCTTAGGTGAACCCAAACAACGATGATCTGATAAAGTCGCAAAGGATTTAACTACACTAGGAGTGGAGAATTTCCAAGAAATAGCGTTGGATAGAACGAAATGAATGGAAGGAAATGTGTGATTCTGCAATGGGCTAAATGACCTTTTAAGAGCTGAAGAAAAAAATAAAGATTCTATTTTGTACAATTTAAATTTGTTTCTAGAGCTTTATCTACATACATAAAAATGAATGTTTGGATGTCCTTTATGCGTCATTAAAACAATATCACACTCTACCTAATTTTAAACTTTAATAGCTTTAAATGAATTTTCTAAAACTGATTATCGTCCAGTCAACATTTTCAGCATGCTATTCTTAATTACTAATGTTAGATAATATATTAAAAATCAACGCTAAATTTAATACAAATTTAAAAAAAAAAAATATATTTTTTAGCTTTGTTATAAAGTTTAAAATTTACCTGAATTTTAAACAAAAATAACTTTGTAAGTAATTATT